TTTCTTCTTTAAAGCATTATTCAGGTTATGTCTAGGTGACCAGAACTATAAATGATGACATTACAAGAAAGAAGTGAAAGTGGTTTTTAGTTAGTCTGTTTACATTTCTTTGGTTGTCTTAACTCCTGTTTAACTTTAATGGCTAATTACACTTTGAATAGAGTCTTTATTATAAATTCAGCACCCTCATCCATTTAAGTAGGGAGTTAAAAGCTCAAAATAAATACTCTGCCTCCAAGTGGTCCTCCAACAAAACCAGAAAGAAAAAAAAACAACACTTTGCCTTACTGATATTTCTAAGGTAAGAAACAAGGGCGTACACACACCATTAAGGAGCAGTGAGTTGGTTATTCTTGAATATAAGGCCTGTGTAAAGAAACTTACCATGCCTCTGTTTAAAGGAAGAGTTTCAAAACTAGTGCATATGGTGAGCACTGCTTCATTCAGTAGAAGACTGCAGAGAAAATACCCTTAGGGTATGTCTACTCAGCCCATGGTAATGAGCCTCCTGGCCTAGGTCAACTGGCTCAGGCTAGTGCTCCAAAAATAGCTATATAGATCGTACTTGGAGGTTGTGGCTGAGGCTGGAGCTCAGACTGTGGGGAACCCCCTTCCCCCCCCCACCCCAATAAAAAGGCTTCAGAGCCCAAGCTGCAATGTCAAAGTGCTGTCTACATAGCTATTTTTAGAGCACTAGCCTGAGTCTGTCAACCTGGGTGGGAGGCTCACAGCGGCAGGCTGCGTAGTCATACCCTGCCTGACCCTGTTCACTTTGTATTAACCTTAAGTATTGGGGAATTGAGACATCTGGAGCAAGGAATCAATGTATTTTTGCTAAACTTCAGGACATGAACTGAGATTCTTTTTTCATGTTTACTTATTTGTTTTTCTTTTCTCTTTAAAGGCCAAAACAGGTTTCCTGGATGCCGCTGCAAAGCACAGTGCAACACTAAGCAGTGTCCATGCTATCTGGCTGTACGTGAATGTGATCCAGACCTCTGTCTGACATGTGGAGCAGCCGATCACTGGGACAGCAAAAATGTTTCTTGCAAGAACTGCAGCATTCAGAGGGGATCCAAAAAGGTGTATATGCTTACCTTTCTACACACGCGCCTTCCCATCTCCACTAGTTTTGCCTTTTTACATCATGTGAACAATGAGGGGGGTGCCTAATATTGTTTTCATGCCAAAAAATCCCCAGTGCACTGGAGTTTGGACTCTGCTGTGGTTTTTGTGGCTAACAAAAAAGAGAGACTAGCCTGAAAGGGAAAATGGTTTCCACCTACTTTGCCATTCAGAGTTATGTGCTACTTTACTCCTCTTTGTACATCTCATTATGCAACTTGTGCCACTATGGAATGGAACATCTACTGTTTACTTCAATACTAACTTGTGTGCAAAATATGTAAACTTAAGCTGAGCATCACCTCTTGTAGGTTGAAAAAAATATGCATTTTAAAGCACTAGTTCATGGTTTCCTAATCAGATTAATATTAAAGTGGTAAATATTGCAGTTGTACAAGCAATTTTGCAGTCTTAAAAATCTCTTAATTTAGCAAGTATCAAAGGGGTAGCCATGTTAGACTGGATCTTTAAAAGCAGCAAAGAGTCCTGTGGCACCTTTAAACATGCATCCGAAGAAGTGGGCATTCACCCACGAAAGCTCATGCTCCTATACGTCTGTTAGTCTATAAGGTGCCACAGGACTCTTTGCTGCTTTTAATTTACCAAGTTTTTTTAATATTCTGATCTGGAGTCCTTTAGTACAGACAGATACAGTTTTGCATGTATCTTGTTACTTGGATTTGTAACCAAACAATTTCTACCCTGTGGCCACTTCTACCCTGGAATGTTTGTTTCATTAGCACTGTATCTGGTCTCCTTTATGTGCACCTTCTTCCCCGCCACCCTCCCTTCCCAAATGTTAGTGACTATGTATGTTTATCATTTAAGCTGAACATTCCAGAAAACCCAGGTCAGATACGTTTCTTGTTTCTCCCCTTCTCTAGCATTTGCTGTTGGCACCTTCAGATGTGGCAGGCTGGGGAATTTTCATCAAAGATCCCGTACAGAAGAATGAATTCATCTCTGAGTACTGTGGTGAGGTAAGGAAAGAGAGTACCTTTCAAGTCAGTGGTTTTCAACCTTTTTTCATTTGAGGACCCCTCAAAAATTTCAAATGGAGGTGCGGACTTCTTAGGAAATCTTAAATAGTCCAAAGGACCACAGGTTGAAAACCACTGCTTCAAATGTATGTTTTAATCGTTACAGCTGTACGTTGGCAAAAGATTAAGAAATTTGTTTTTTATTCATAGATGTCTCACTAAAATATTCAAGGTCACGTTCTTCAGTGATGTATCAGTTTGTGACCTTGACTAATTATAAAGCAAAATTGGTTAAATAATGTCTCCAGGCTTGGGAACTAGCTTGTTTGTAGATTTAGTACCCTTTTGTGGAATAAAGGAATGTTATACAATAATTCACAGCAGGTTTCAAGGTCTTGGCATTGCCAAGAGAATAAAAGCTTCCCTAGCATCTACTATGCATAGCTGAATCCATGGTTGATACTGCTGTTTTTCCACTGGCAAGATTTTTTCATGACTTTTAGGTGCCTGTGAGGATGAGGCTGGAAGAGGATGGATCTAAAGCAGGGTTTCTCAAACTTCATTGCACCATGACCCGCTTCTAACAACAAAATTACTACATGACCCCAGGATGGGGGACCGAAAGCCTGAGCCCACCAGAGCCCCGCCACCATGGGCAGGGGGACCAAAGCCCAAGGGCTTCAGCCCCTGGCAGGGGGCCTGTAACCTGAGCCCCGACCCCTGGGGCTGACTCCTCGGGCTTGGGCTTTGGCCCCAGGCTCCACCAGGTCTAATGCCAGCCCTGGTGACCCTGTTAGAACAGTCCTGACCCACTTTGGGGTCCCAACCCACAGTTTGAGAAACACTGATCTAAAGAGCAGTCCCAATTAAAGCACATCTGGAGTTTCTTGCAAAATCATTTGACTGCCAGCATAAGAGGCTGCCAAGATTCAGTAGGCAAGACCGCCCTCTCACCTGCCCCAAACGTAGATATCCGGCTGTGTGAAAGGGAGAACTAAGGCCCAGAAGTGAGGGTCCTGTACAGAGTGAATTGATTTAAATCAAAGCAACTTATATTGTCATTTTCAATCACAGTATGATTAAATCATGTTGTGCATTTGTACGTTAGTTATTTTCCAAGTGAAAGGTTGATCCTTATTGGTTGGTAACTATTAAACATGTTGATTTGCGACTAAGTAGTCTTTACACTAAATTTGGTGCTTCTTTTTACTAACCAGGAGAATACACTGTAGCTGTACATATTTATTTAAGCAATTATGTAGCTTAACTTACATTTAGATTTTTAATGTTTATTTTTAGAAAATGGTGAAGATGCATTTCTTCTTTACTAGATAATTAACTTTTGTATCAAGCTCTATTTTCAGATTTGATTAAAAATGCACAAAAGCAGATTTAAATTTTTTTTAAATTAAATGAAACTACCTTAAACGTGTGCTGGATATGTAAGATGGAAAAAAATTACCAAAAGTTTATCAAAACATGTTTTGTAGTTAAAACTGATTTATTAAAGGAAGTAATTATCTGTTAGTGAATTGTATTGATTGTTTCTGGTCGCCATGACCTTTAAGATTTCAGAACTAGTAGATCTCATCCTCACACTTAGTTTTTATTCATAGATTGGAAGAGGAAAACAAGCTTTCCTGCTTTTTCAACTGTGAATGAACTAATTGAATAAACTGAATCAAAGAAAATATTCTCTCTGAACCTGTAGAAGAGGCTATTGGTTTAGCACTTCAACAAATTGGTTCCAGATGCTTAGCCAGTGACTTCTACCAGTTCAGTGGTTTCACCTTTCTTAAAATGTGGCAGCAAACATGTACTGCTTAATATTATTTTATGTATTTAATTTAAATGATTATAAGCTTAGGCTTTAACATAAATTGTCTTTTTCAAAATTAATTTTAAATGGGTTGAATTGAAAAAACTTACTAAATAAAATGGGGTTTTGATTTTTTTTAAAGTTAAGTTTATATATCTTTAGAGAAACAGAATTATAAAATATATGCCTTCCTTATAGGCTGAACTGATAGTGCTGTTTTGGGCTACTAAATAAGAGAGCCCTAGTTAATGTAACTTTGTATGGCTGAATTGGAAATGTCTCCAAGATGACAGCTATAGACTTATTTGTCTTGCAGTCATCGTCTGTGCATCCACCCAAAGAATAGCATAGTCTAAGACCACTTGTCAGCCTTAGCTGTAGTGTTAAAGTTTTCCTTGTCTTAATTCCACTTGCCGTATAAACTTCATTCCAGAATGGGAAAAGTTGGGATTCCAGTTATGATGGGCTTTAGATGTGGAGCATACTTGAGGCTGTAGGCTATTTCCATTACAAGCTGAAAAATAAGTGGCCTTCTTTTATATGCAATATTTCTTTCAGATTATTTCTCAGGATGAGGCAGACAGAAGAGGGAAGGTATATGACAAGTACATGTGCAGCTTTCTATTCAATCTGAATAATGGTACGTATGTCTAGCTATTAATTTTAATTGACACAACTAAGATTTTCAAAACCTCTGTTTAGCTGCCACCTAACCCAGCAGGCACCTAAGTTTGTGCAGGTGGCATGAACAAAACTACCTAAGTTCTGCCACTGCTGAGTGGCCATGTTCCCTTCGGGGTCCGGGTGGGATTCTCAGAGTAGGTGATTCCTGCCTATCTCACCTGCAGGGCCTGATCCAGGCATACCTACCACATTGGGCCTCATGTGCATGTAGAGTCCTCTGTAGCTGTCTTTTGTGAAAGGGTCTGTCCAAGAATCAGGTGCCTAAAAACCTTTGATAGATGGAGCTTAAGCCCCATCTCTTCCTTTAGCATTTCCTACTGCCTAGCTTAGGCCCCTCCCTGCTCAGCTTGCTGGCTTCTGAAAAATCAACTGGGGATTCTACAGGACAGCGTGGTGCTTAAGTTAGGTGTCCCAATGCTCACTGTTGCACTGCCTAAGTCCCTTTAATCTCCCATATGAGGAGAGATTAAAGAGGCTTGGACTCTTCAGCTTGGAAAAGAGGAGACTAAGGGGGGGATATGATAGAGGTATATAAAATCATGAGTGATGTGGAGAAAGAGGATAAGGAAAAGTTATTTACTTATTCCCATAATACAAGAACAAGGGGTCATCAAATGAAATTAATAGGCAGCAGGTTTAAAACAAATACAAGGAAGTTGTTCTTCACGCAGCGCACAGTCAACTTGTGGAACTCCTTACCTGAGGAGGTTGTGAAGGCTAGGACTATAACAGCGTTTAAAAGAGAACTGGATAAATTCATGGAGGTTAAGTCCATTAATGGCTATTAGCCAGGATGGGTAAGGAATGGTGTCCCTAGCCTGTCAGAGGATGGAGATGGATGCCAGGAGAGGGATCACTTGATCATTGCCTGTTGGTCCACTCCCTCTGGGGCACCTGGCATTGGCCACTGTCGGTAGACAGGATACTGGGCTAAATGGACCTTTGGTCTGACCCGGTACGGCCGTTCTATGTTCTTTGTGGATCTAGCCCGAAGTGCTGCAAAAAATTCATAAAGGAAGCTTTTTTTATATAAAGGTCAGCATATTTTAAAGAGCTTGTAGACCTGGAAAGAAAGAAGAGATCCATCTAATTTAGAAATATCATTGTACATCATTTGGGCAGGAGATGCATGGAGGTGGAATATGTAAAGATTCTCAGCAGGTGGAAACATCAATTTTAGGACGTTCAGTATGTTTAACTACGCTGCCATGATATTTTAATATGGCAACTTGTTAGCCTTTCCTGAGGAAAAGTTAACATCGGAGAAGGTTTTTCAAAATTACTTTCACGTGTGAAGCTGAACACACTAAAGTTATAACCTGGCAGGTGCATAAAAGAGGAAATGTGCTGTACAGCATTTTCTCAGATGTGCTTAGAAAGTTCTTTAGAGGAAACCTGTTCTAACTGCTTACATTCTCTTCTAGATTTTGTGGTTGATGCAACACGCAAGGGTAACAAAATCCGATTTGCAAACCATTCAGTAAATCCCAACTGCTATGCAAAAGGTAATACCAGAAAAAGTAAATCTAGGGTTAGTCTAACAATACATGAAGCATCGTTATTGTAGAATGTTGAATACATGTTTAAGTGGTGGCAGAATGTGTAACTACAAATAAGTCATGCAAATGTGAGCTAAGACCCTGACCGTATCTTTCTCTCTTTTTTTTAAACAGTTATGATGGTTAATGGAGATCACAGAATAGGTATATTTGCTAAGAGAGCCATTCAGACTGGTGAAGAGCTGTTTTTTGACTACAGGTTGGTAGATTATAGCAAGATCTTCATTCTAGGGCCACTGTGGCCAAGCCTGATTTTTTTGTCACATTGAACCTTTAATATCTGAGATTTGAGAATGTATTTAGATGTCTCACCTTTTACTGAAATCCATCTTTGGGTCTCAGCAGATTGCTTATGCCAGCAGTTGTCTTCATCCCACAAATGCTGGGATTTTGCTGGTGAAAGACAGCAATGCACTTGGGGCACTTCTGGCTCTGCAACTCATAGGCACAGTCTAATTAGTCAGAACCTTGCCCACTTGAAGCCCAGGCTTTATAGGGAGGAATATCACCATATGTACGGAAGAGACGAGGATGGAACAATATGTATTTTTTCTCCAAACAACATATCCAAGTTTGCCAATTACAAAAGACCAGATCTCCACTAGAACTTTTGCCAGTAAAATCTGTCAGGGGTGATTGAGACATTTTTATACTGGCATAAAAGTGCTTGTGATTTTATTTTTTTTTAAATTCCCAAGCAAAATAAAACATTTGTGCCACTGGTGCTTTTCTAGTATAGATTAGGCTTAAGTCTCCTGCTATAAACACACCTGTGGAGCAAACCGCTGCTGCGTTCATTGTCTAGGGCTGACTGCACACTGGGCCAGATTTTTAAAGATAGTTAGGCATTGCTCTGTTTAGTAAATGATTTCGACAGCTAAGTCCTGTATCCAAAAGTGACTTAAGAGTAGCTTTAAAAATCTGGCCCACAGTGATTGCCATTCATGGGAACACAGGACTGAAACAAACTTCCTGGGTCATCGAGTTCAGTCCCCTGCTATGACAGGCAACCCACCATCTGTCCTGTTTATATATTTATCAAATTAGTGCAAGGCTGTTTCACTCCTCTGATGGTTAGAGACCATCTAATTTATTCAATTTATACTTAGCCTTGGAAGGGGTAGATTTTTATTGGCAAATTTCAGTAAACATTTTGCTGTACAGACACAAAATACTTCCATCAGTCAAAATTTACAGATGGGCAAAGTGAGAAAAATGCTGCTTGAGAACTGGTTTGATTTCAAGATAATTATGTTGATATTCAAAGCTCTCTCTGTGGTATTGTTCCTCCCTCTCTCCTCCCCCCAACTGAAATTTAAATTAAGTTTTAAAATAAAAAAGCTCCAAAATAAGCATTATCACCAGTTAAATAAAATTCCCCCAAGCCTATGCATACTGATTTCTACCCCCAAAGTCTGTTTTAACATGAATTGGGCTCTCACAACACTACTGCACTCTACCACCACCACCGTCACCACCAAGGTTGTTCCTGTGTTTTTGTCTAGAGCAACAACTTAAATGCAAGGGCACAAAAGCAACAGAATTGTATTCAACCTTTTATGTGATTGGTTCCCAATATCTTTGAGAGGCTCAGCATAATACATAGCAAATGAATAAAGTTGTATCTCTTTTTTCCCCCCTCAGATACAGCCAGGCTGATGCACTGAAATATGTAGGCATTGAAAGAGAAATGGAAATCCCTTGATACCAGCTACCTCTACTTTTGAACAGCTGCCTTATCTCCAGGAATTTTCTAGTACTGTGGGCAATTTTAGAAAAATGATGCAATTTGAAATTCTGAATTTGCAAAGTACTGTAACAGTAATTTATAGTAAATTTCAAAATCAACTTTTTATTGCCTTCTCACCAGCTGCAAAGTGTTTTGTACCAATGAACTTTTGCAATAATGCGGTGTGGTACATTTTTCAACCTTGAATAAAGGATACTTGAACTTCTTCATTTTGAGTGTATTTGAGCTATAATGGTGGATCTAAGCAGTTAAAATAACTTGGTATATAAAGAATCTCTTGAGGGTACACACTGCACTTAAAATCACACTTGTTGCTTTTTTTACCTTCTGTGTGGGACTTTCACACCATTAGCTGAGCAGGAAGCACAGGAAGACCGAATTAATGCATAAACAAATCCGCAAGGGGCTTTAAGTTAGTACCTGAACCTTCGTGTTCACTTAAGACTTCCAACTTGAAAATTAATCAGTTCAAATTGGGGCAGGCACAGACCCTTTCTCTAAACTGTATGTGGCAGCAACTTAATTGCCCTGAGTGACATTCAGCTAAGTTAGTCCAAGTTAAAGGTGTGTGTTTAAAGTGTATTAGTTAAACTACACCTGGGTGGAGGCTGTTAAGCCTACTTACCTTAATTCACTTCCAAAGGGAAAAAGTTGTAAGTATGGAACAGTCTTTCACTCTGACCGAGTGCTTTAGGGCAGTGGCTCTCAACTTTTCCAGACTACCGTACCCCTTTCAGGAGTCTTAATTGGTCTTGCATACCCCCACGTTGCACCTCACTTAAAAACTTGCTCACAAAATCATAATACAAGTCTCTCAGTACACTATTACTGAAAAATTGCTTACTTTCTTAATTATAAAATAAATCAATTGGAATAAATATTGTACTTCCATTTCAGTGTGTAATATATAAACAAGTCATTGTTTATATTGACTTCACTAGTGCTTTTTATATAGTAAAACTAGGCAAATATCTCGATGAGTTGATGTACCCCCAAGGGGCATGAGAACCGCTGGTTGAGAACCACTGGTTTAGGGTATACTAGAGCCCATTGGCCTCCGCATACTAATACCTACAAGTCTGATTTGGATTGATTTAAATTGACTTGTTTGTTTATAATAGTCCTACCTGATCCTGGCTGATTTACTACTGCACAGCCATCAAGTTTGCTAAAACAAAATACCTTTGAAAACAGGGTAGCACACATTATGGAACTCAGCTGTACATAGAGAACGGATTGAAAGTTTGCAAGGGAACAGTTTTCCACTGGAAAATGCTGATTTGATTAAATCTAAATATATTGATCTTGTCAGTAACTTCCTACAAAAGTCGACATTTCACTAAGGTTCAAAATGAAACCTTTAAGGAAGGTCAAAACCAACTATTGTCAGTATATTATGTTTTATTCTGTTCTTTAATTCCCAGATTCATCCTCCTTCAGTTGCAATAGCTGCTATTGCCAACCAGACATGCCAAACCTGTGGGGGGGAAAAACAGAAATTGGGCTTGTTTTTGGCTTGTGGCTTTTTTTTTTTTAAACTGGCTCCTGGCAAGCAAGGGCAGGGAGAGCGTCAGCAGGCCTACCACAGTCCCAGACTGCACCCTGGGGGATCTAGTCAGAGTGTTGGGGTTCTTAGGGATTGACTTGTTTTGAAATGGGAGTAGCTTGAATTTTGGTTTAGTGTGAAAGTCAGGGTGCTTATTTACCATGGCAAAGTTGGCAACTGTGGTACCAACCCTTGGCATGAGTCATCTGCTTTTGGTGCACAACAGCTGCCAGAGCCGTATCACTCAAAATTGCAGACAAAGGAGAGGATAAACTTTCCCAAGGTAGATGGGCTCAGTATATGAATTTTACTGCAAGAAGTTACACACTGTATTCTAGTCATATGCTGGATGGGAGCACAGTTCTCAAACCCCAGTTTATATTCCACAGTGAGCTTTTGTGTATTAGTGTCCTTGATCACACACCCCTGCCATATAAACCTCTCTGACAGACAGCCACCACTGTGGTGTTCCCAAACTGGTGCTATTAGCTTCTAGAAGCTAATAGCACTTCAATGGCAGCAGTACCCATGGTACTCCCTCATGCTGAAGTAATGCAGCAACGCATTATCCTAAGGCTAGACGAACTACTCTACAAGTTATCTAATGTTAACTTCCATGGGTCTCTGGCTGACGGCTGGAATGACTATTTTTCAAAGCTCCAGCAGAAACCAAGAATTAATCGATATCGCATTACTGAAAAAAGGCTCAGGAAAAACAGCAGCCAACAGATCTGTTACCACTCTGTACCCTCATCAGTACTTTGGGAGGTCTAGCAAGGATAATTGCTGATCTGTTAATTTGGGTTCTCCACAGGCCATTTCAGAAAGTGGCTATAAATCCATCTGCTAGCTCACTTTACCCAGGTTTTTTTCTTCTGCTTCCATTTGTTGGTCCAGAGCACTCCTATCCCTTTGTCTACCCTGGTGTAAAAACTACATGACCAATTTATCGGAACACAGTTGATCTACACAGGCTGCAGTTTGAACAAGGAGCTTGGTAAGCCATCCCAATGCTCTGTATGCTGAGTTTCCAAAGTGTGTTCACAGTAACCATTTCTGGCATTGTAAACATTTTCTCCCCCCTCCATTTCTAGTTTTCCATTGGAAGGAGGACTAAAGTGCTGACTGTTCTGCAGAAACATTTTTGAACGAGCCTAACCCACCACATACTTCCACTCCATGGCTTGCACACAAATCAGTGTGTCAAAAATGCAACACTTTAAAAAATAACCAGAGACAACATTCCTCAACTACAAATGGCATTCACCACTTTCACAGCAGGGTTTGTATTACTGTAAGGGCAGACTGCAGTGTGTTGACATAGGCTTAGTAGCAGCACGCACACACTCAGACAGAGATGGTTGTGACAAGATGGTTTTTAAAGCCTTTAGCTCACTTGTAACAACAGCTCTGCACAATTCAGTATGGTATAGTCATTTCTGCCACTTTCTTCTTTAGCTGGCAAATTTTTGTTAAGCCTTCACTAGGGCACTTTCGACAAAGCAAAACCAGAACAGTTTTATCCCCTCTAAATGCTTCAAGTCTAGAAGACGCAGAGTTGTTAAGACAATCTCCTCACACATCGTTGTTAACCACCTTTCTTCACTTCCCATAATAAACACTGTGAAGCAATGGGTATTGCTAAGAAAACGAAGGCTTAATGCTATGGTGTCTCTGCATTGCCGAGTGCAGAAGGTGCACCCGAAAAATCAAGATGGAGCTTCTGCTCACAATGAGGACTTGGAAACACATACTAAGAGCAAAAATTTATTTTCCATTTGTAGAGATAGTGAGTACAGAACTCCCACCATTAGGAAACAAGGTTTTGGCTTCCACAGCCAGGAGATTATGTAAGTTTAAAGAAACAATGCTGTAGATGTTAGTCCACTTACTCCAATATGAAAAAAAGATTTAGCTAAATGTTACCAACACACATGCCCAGATTCAAAACTAAAGCATTTATTCCCATCAAGTACTTAATTTAATAATAGTTTTGTCTGTGGGAATGTGCATCCAAAATGTATTACCACACTATTCATAAAAATGACATGATTAATCTTGGCCAAAAAAATATTACCTGACAGCATAAGTAGATGAGTTTAGTTTCTGTTATATCCATTTTGAGAAAAATTCTGAAACTCAAATGCCAAAACATTGTTGCACATCTTCCAAGTATCTGCTATTTATCTTGAAAATTCAGTGTACACCTCTCCCCCAAAAGCCACAGCTACAGAATGATTTTTCAATCTAGTGATGTGTTTTGCTTGAATCACAGGGAAAGGAAAGAAAGCAAAACTAACAAATTATTGTAGCTTTCATAATCATTATACCTTTTATTTACATTTAGAAAGTAGTGAAACTTAAAACAATAAAACCAAATGCAACTTGTACAGAAATCTTTTAATTTTTTTTTATTTATCACATTAAAAAATGAAACACACTATACAAATGGTTTTTCATAGCAGATTACACATAGGTCCATTCAGACTCGCTCTCAAAGTGCTGCCGACATTTCTAAGTGCTGCCTGTGGGGGCAGCTATTTATCATATAGCCAATGTATTGATTTAAATGCAGTAGCATGCAACCCTCAGTGGAGAAGGGTTTGATTCCTCTCTGTTCTTAAATTAGGTTAAATGGCATTGGTGTCCATATTTACATACTTGAAATGTATCAATCCTGAGCAGTTCCGATGTAAATCTGAGACTGGCTGATGGGAGTCCTGGTCTCAGTTATTAAAAAGGGAGGTCCAAATGGCAGCAGACTGGCTGCTATGAAGTTCAGTTGTTTTCATTCTTTCCATCACATAACTATTTGCTGAGCGTCTCACACAGTCAGACAACTGCTAATAAAAATGCTAAGCCAAGTAACTGTAGGTGTCCTTCTCACCATCCACACGCTCCAAGTACTCCTTCTCAATCAGAATGTCAATGCATTTCTGTAGGGGAGACAAGGAGTGCATTTCATAAAACAAACCCCAGGCAGGCACTTTGCAGCAGATATTTTAAAAGCAAGGAAACTTTGTTGTTGTTGTTGCTTACTATACGCTTTTAACAGTTTTGGCTGCAAAGTGCCATGCTGAATACATATTTCTCCTGAATACTAGCATTAAAACTATTTAGCAGGGAAATGGCATAAATAATGGACCATTTAAACTACGACAATTTACTCTACATTTTTGACCATGCCTAGAAGAGGCCACTCACAAACACCATTCAATGGAATAAAGGTGACTCGTTATTTCTTTAATCTTTCTAAAATCAGTCCATTAACTCAGACGCTTGTTTAAAAAATTAAGATCCATTACTGCTGTTCTGACATACCTTAATTACTGGAACTCGTGGTTTGAATCTTGAGGACAGCTGGGTTAGAACCTCTCCAAGCAACTGCTGGTGTTTTAGAACCTTTCTCATTTTCATAATTCTCACAATAGCAGCCTAAATAGCAAAGTAGAAACAGACCTTCTTAGGAAAATACAATTTGCAATTCTGGATCAAGCCAGTGGTTCCCAAACTTTTCACTAAGACAACCCACCAACTCCATTTTGTCTCTTTCTGAGACCCATCCAGGGCCCAAATTTGTTGGGGGAGGATGGGAGCAAAATCATAGGCTATTATCTTTCTCCTCACCCAGCCAAGGACACCAACCACCCACAGCAGCACTCTCCACTGCAACCATGACCTTGTCTCAGTGCACCACAGCAGCAACTCCTGTCCCATGGGGCTGGGGCCAGCTCCTCACTGTGGGGCTTACATAGGGTTGCCAACCCTCCCGGTTTAGCTGGGAGTCTTCTGGAATCAGACCCTATCTCCCAGAGGCTACTGACGCCAAACCGAGAGATTTTAGGTGCTAGAAGTCCAGAGGCACAGCGGGGCTAAGGCTCCCTGCCTAGCCTGGCCCTGCGCCGCTCTCAGAAGCAGACGGCATGTACCTGCGGCCCCTGGGGGGCAGGAGGTCTCCGCACACTACTCCCACCTCAAGTGCAGATGGGAACCCAGTGAGGGCAGTGCCTGCGGGCAGAGGCAGCACACAGAGACCCCAGCCCTCCCCACCTAGGAGCCGCTGCTAGAGGGGTGTGCTGGTCACTTTCAGGAGCCGCCCGAGGGAAGCGCCACCCCACGCACCCCAATCTCCTGCCCAGAACCTGCACCCAAACTCACTCTCAGAGCCCAACCCCTCACCCCCTCCTGCACCCAAACTCCCTCCCAGAGCCCAACTCCTCATCCCCTCCTGCACCCAAACTCCCTCCCAGAGTCCAACCCCAACCCCCTGCCCCAGGCTCAGCCCAGAGTCCCCTCCCACACTCCAAACCCTTCAGCCCCACCCCCCAAGCTTGCACCCCCTCCCCCAGCCCAGTGAAAGTGAGAGAGAGTGAGAGAGAGCAAGTGACAGAGGGAGGGTGGGGGGCTGGGGTCTTGGAGAAAGGGCGGGGCAATGGTGTTTGGGTTTGTGCGATTAGATAGTTGGCAACCATAGGATTGCAATGTAGCATATGGGGGTCACAGAGCCGCTCAGGTTTGGCCCAGCCTCTCCTCTGTCATAATAGGGGGTGGCTGAGCCAAATTAGGGAGAGTAGCATTTCACCAGATGGCAACACCTGGAGCTGGGCCCAGTCCTACGGGACAAAAGTAACCACTGAGCAGAGGGCTCTCTCCCCACCCCCTTAGGAGCCTCTCCTCTGCACCAGGCCCACAACTCATCTAGAACCTTCCTGTGACCCGCTGTTTGGGAAACACTGTCTTTAGAGCTTTATCATGCCTCTACCAGTGGCTTGTATCTGCTAATGAAGAGGGGGATGAAAGCATTGACCAGTATACTCAGACTCAGGCCAGATGGTACCACTGTGATCATCTAGTCTGACCTCCTGCATACCACAGGACCTGACCCACCCACTCCTGTAATAGACCATAACCTCTGGCTGAATTACTGAAGTCCTCAAATCATGATTTAAAGACTTCATGTTATAAAGAATCCACCATTTTGTCTAGTTAAACCAGCAACTGACCCATGCTCCACGCTGCAGAGGAAGGCAAACCCCCACCCCAGGTCTCTGCCAATATGACCTGGGGGAAAAACTCCTTCCTGACCCCAAATATGGTGATCAATTAGATCCTGAGTATGTGGGCAAGTCCCACCAGCCAGAATTCAAAGAATTCACTGCAGTAACTCAGAGCCATTTAGTGACCTATCTCCAGCAGTTGGGGATATTTGGTACAAGCAGTCGCAGATTGCCTACAATGGCATGTGGCTGATCTCATCATACTAACATCCAACCCACCTGAATCAGTAGTTTCCTGTCCTCCTCTATATTTTTGTGTGTAGTTTCCTGCTCCTGCTTCTGTTCAGTCTTCATTGGCACATTGATGTTTACCCTCAATTTTTTGCTGCCAGGAAAGGGAAGTTGAGTAAATAATTAGCCTAATTTCAAAAAGAAAATCTGAGTGGAAAGTTGGGAATATCTGATTACTCCTTCCATTTCCAGTTCTATAAAAAGAACCAATTCCTCCCATTTGCTCCCAACACAGCTTTTCTTACTTAGTGACAAGGAGGATAGGATAGGAGAAAAATTTCATAGTTGCCTCCTTTCCCCAAATGTGATCTTCAAATGATCTTAACGCTCTGATATTCTTTATTGTAAAGGCTACCTAGGCCAGATGGAATACATTTCATAGTACTCTACGGTACACAAGCACAACTGGACACTAAATACCATAATCCCAACAAAATGGTTAATACTACAAAGGTTTGTGATTTGTCAAAGTGATAATGAGATTTATCCATCAAACTCTCTCTCATGTGAATAGTCCCACTGAGTTTGCAGGATCAGAACACATTTGAACAAATCCTGGTACAAAAGCACACACTTAAATTGGGAGAACTGAACATTTAGATTGAGTTTTGAGTCTTCTTTTAAGTAGAAAACCAAAATAGATCTCAAATTATGGCTTTGTTTTAAAAATAACTAAGATGACAAAATATAATGTTTGAAACAGGAATTTTGATCACAAAAGCTAAATAAAAACTACTTGTGCGTTTGACTGCTAAAGGAGTACAGACTTTGAAATTTAAAAGGAACTTATATCTAGGGGAGAAAAAAGATTTACCTGCATTACTCAATTCTAAAGTTCATTTATTTTTACCATTCATATTTATTCACTATTTACATTTTACTTAGCATGGGACCCAAAACTGCAACTGCATACTAATGTGTAGATCCTTGCACCCATGTGAAACCCCAATGAAGTCAATATGGGTCCATCCACACAGACACTGTTGCAGGATCAGGGCCTTAAACAGTACAACCCTGTATGTCAGTTTCACTTTCTGGTCCTCACCAACTACTAGCACAATGCATATGAGAGAGAGTTTGATACTGCAGGAAAATTTACACATTAAAAATTTAATAATAACAACAACTCAAAACAAAACTTCTATTCATATTACATTTGCCTAAAAATAAAACATACAAAGCTTAAGATTTGTTCTGGGAACCAAGGATAACATTTTCAAAAGTCACTTGGGTATTTAGGGAACCTAAGTCTCATTGAAAGTGAGGCTTGTAAGTTACTTTTGAAAGCAGAACTTTGAAAATTTACCACTTAATCTTCCTCAAGAACAAGCTGTGAACAATTTGGATTATTGTTTATTTACCAGATCAACTGCAATTAGTTATCCCACAGACTTTTGGCCTCATTTGGAGTGTTGCCTCTAGTGAGAGAGAAATGGAATTGATGCTGCACTCCAATTCTATGAGCATACACATGGGACAACAGGGGATTACAACATTTAGGAGAAAAGTCAGTATGTTGCTTTACTTATTACATTCTGATCCTAGTGAGGAGATAATTAATTTTGGAATTTTTTCCTCATAATAATTAATTTGTCTCAAGTATAGATATTGTTGCAATTACACATTTGTATATTTTGTGAAGATTGGTATAAATCCTGACCCAAAAAAACAATATTGCAGTTTGATATTTTTCAAATAAGCCATATTTATAAACATCCCTATGAATCCACTGCACTGTTGAAAACAGAATTTTATCAATTTAACTGTTTTAAAATTCAAACAAAAGAAGTGGTTGATTTGTAAAAAGGAGTATAAAAAAAGATAGTGAACATTATATTAAATAAAGCAAAACAGATGGAAATACATCCAGTGTTAAAGAACACTGAACAAGGATAATCATGTTACCTGCTGATCACATTGCTAGTTATTACCATTCCACATTTAAAATAAGTAACATTATTTCAGAACACTAGACTATAGAATGTGTAAATCTGCTATGGCTACAATTACGTGTAAATAAGAGGTTACTTCTAGACAAAGCATAACAATAACATCAGTGTTGCTAACACCAAATAATATAATGTTTATGAATTCTCGTAAGAGAGAGAATACTCAGCCCTCTAGTTTGTTTGGAACAGCCCTCTAGCTCAGATACAGAAGAAAGGAAAAAGATTAAATACAAGGGAGGATTTCTAAATAAAAATTTAATTCATTTCAGTTATTTCATTTCACACAAAATGTGGTTTATTTAATAGAATGTAGATTAAGTTACATGCGCTACACTAAAAGGTTTCTTAAATAAACCATCATCATCAGTATGGAATTCATAACTGAGATTAGGCCTATCCTTCAGCTAAGCACACAAACACTACTGTGCTGTAAGTAGTTTGAGACATATAGCTATAAAAATGGCACTGAAACAACAAGAGCTAACCGAAAGACACTGCAAAGAGAATCTTAGTTTTTAAGGCACTTCAGAGCTCAAAATCTCTAAATAAAGCACAGGTTTCAGAGTAGCAGCCGTGTTAGTCTGTATCCGCAAAAAGAACAGGAGTACTTGTGGCACCTTAGAGACTAACTAATAAAGCACATTGCTCTTTTTCAGGGGCTGTTTTTAATGGCCATGCGCTTAAAACTTTGGATTTGGTGGTTTGTTTGTTTTTAAATGACTAAGACCCCTTTAAATGTAATTTATTTACTTGGCATGTGTAAGTCAGGACCAATGGCAAAACACGCAGTGATGGCACGCCAGCCAAATGTGTCTATGTGATCAAAGTCTAACTAAATTAAACCAGATTTTTACTGAGCCCCAGTGACTAGCAAGAATCAAGAGTTGAAGACGTGAGAGTACGTTTACTGACACTGCTGGTGAGTGCCATCCTGTTTGCTTTATAGACCCATTCGAGTGCTTGCTCAACCATAGCTATAGCGTTGCTAAAAAGCGACACTATAAATAGCAGGAGCTTCAGAGAAACAGATTGTTGCCATTTATACACAACCCGTTTATACTATTAGATTTTTCTTACTTTTTGTAACCAAGATATAGTTTTATTAAGGTATCCGGCTTCAATTCCACCTCATCCACATTTGCATTTTCATCTTCCAAAACCTACAAGAAACAAAAAATTATTATATATTTGCTAAAATGTTTTTCAATAAATTAAATATGCAAGAAAGCAAACGAACTTACCAATAACTTTGACTTCAGTAAGATCTGTAGAACTTGTGCCAAGATATCCTACAAGTTACAGGAGAAATTATCAATGCCAACTTAAAATACATTTTTCTTTCAAATGTCCAATGAATTTTGACATTGAGTTATAACAAAATAATTGAAAGGTCCTGCATGCACTGGAACTATTCAAATTTCATTTTACATAGCTACAAAAATACAAACTGCAGGCAGAATTAAAAAAAATCACCAATAGGTACAGAAAAATTGCAAAAGTACATGTCGAGCATTTAGAAAGTGAATTAACGATTGAGAAATACCACAAAAGCTTATGCGAAATATTAAAAACTTTTCATTTTAGAGGATTGAAGACAAAGAATTCCACTTTAGCACGAACCCAATAGCAGATTTTCCCCTTTCTTGTGCCAGACTACTCTGAGGTTCCTCAAATAGACCAATTTCAAAGAACAGGTCTTTCCAATTACCCCTTTAATGATCCTTTCCCCACTAAATGGTGCTGACATGCAGGAAAGCATCTATCCAAAGACTATTAAATTTATGCTGAGTAAGAACTCAGAAAGTGCACCATGGCAGATGTCTGAATATTTTTCAGGCCTACACTAGGGCTTTTTTTCGATTACAAACACTGGAGGCCAGTCCCTGAGGAAGCCGCACCAGTGTATATCTCCAGTATAGACATGGAAGGTGCTATTTTCCCTGCTGAAAGTGAACCCAGTTTGAAGTAGGTGGACACTCCATCCATGCAAACAGCAGCTTTGTCTGTTTACAACTATGGGTTTGCACTGGGTGCAGCTACATTGGTGGCTGACAATGTCCATAACAGAGGCAATTCCCCAATGCGGACAACTTATGTTTGAATTTTCTATGAAGCATCCAAAACTCTAATTTGTATTCACAGATTTATTCTCTCTTTGGCAGGTCACTTAAATTTGCTGACCACGGATAATTTGCTTTTCTCCCCGACATGCCTTAGAAGACCTTATGTGAGCCTAGTCAAAAGAGAGACACCTGGTTTTTAACAGTTGAGGTACAGAGTCTGCTTTTGAAGAAACAGTAGGGAATTGCCTCTCCAAGTAAAACAAACACTTAGCCAATGCATCTATATTCTCAACGTGTTCATGTTCTTAATCTTTCAGGATATAAAACAGATAGGAAATTCTAGGAACCTAGATAATAAAGGGAGACCACCACCTTTCCCAAAAACAGAAGTTTTAAAACAAAAATACATGCACTAGAAAACCAATGACTAATTACAGGAGCAGAGGAGGGAGGCATAGAGTAATATAATTCTAAAGGATTCAGCATAGTGATCAATGAGAGAGTGTCTACACTTCAGGATTTGCTAGAAACCTCAGAAATAAAACCTAGAAGAGTTTATGATTACTAGAAACTGAACAGGAAGGTAAGTTGACCAACAAAGCAGCAACAACTGCTACCGCAAGAACAAAAACTAACATTTGAGTCAAACAGATCTCACCTCCTGCTCCCCTTTTCAGGACAGCAGTAAGTGTGCTGAACCCCATGAAAAGAAACTTTACATTGCAGTGGTAACAAAACTAGTGTAATACAATACATAATTAAGACACTACCATTTTTATCTGAGTACTGTCTGTCAGCTGTTGAACAGTATAGGCATCTTCTGTGTTGTATTGTAGTAGGATTGCCATCTGGAACGTCGATGCCTTCCAGACCCCAAAAAAAGAAAAGAAAAAGGCCAAATATAAAATCTAAGTGAAAATACGCACAACTTGAATGGGTATTTGAACTTGACTGCCTTGGAAAATTCACCAATCATGAACGCGAATACACAGACACACAAACACTCCCCCACCCAAACTAAATTGAAACCTTGATGAAGCCTGATAGATTAAACAGTTATGGCTAGGCAAAAAAAAAGATTCATAATACTCAATTTGAAGGATTCATCACTTTAAAAAAGTGAATATGAAAAGTACGATACTTTTAAATGATCCTTCGTATCCAAGTCTACCATTTCTTCTCTGCTATTAAATAGCATTCAAATGGACGTTTAAGCAAAAACCTAGTTCTCAAAGATGTACTATTTTTAAAAAATGGGAGCTAGGGACTGTACTATAGTTATTTTTGGAAAGATTTTGAGTAAATTTTCCTCTATGCATAAATATAATGAGAAAGCAAATAGGCATAATGTTTGCAACAAAACCAAAAACAGTGAGACATATTCATGCCTTCAGATATGTCTACACAACACTAACTTGAATGAGAGTTGTACGTGTGAACGATAATTGAGAACAGAGAAAGTAGGCTTACATGCTTTCAGACTACGCTCTTTAAAGAGTTTCATGGAACTGTCAATAAAACATAAGATTTGCTATTTAAAATCTTCACACCCGGAACCTTAAATGGAATCATTACGCAATGCAGCAAGTCTCTCTGTATGATTCTTCACATGCGCACATCATTGTATTACCAACATTCCAGTATTCTTTAAATCTAAATCCTAAGATTGTGACCAGTTGAACTACTTGCAGACAGTTCCTTCCATGTATCTCTTTTTACCCATATGTTTTCTGATTTCAAAATATTCCCCCTCAATTTGTTACCCAATTATGAGTATTTTCCATTTTATCCTTAATATAAAACCTAGACACAGACTATTGGATTTCACTACATGACATTAGAAACATTTTACATACAACTGTAGATACGACTAATTTCATCAAGGCCTATGGATAAGTGCCCTGTAGTTCATAAACACACCTATGGTTTGTTCAAGTTTATCACCAGTAGTATTAACAATATAAATGCACATTAAATGCGTAAGTTCAATAGCCTGAGTAAGGTATTTGAGAAGGCAAAAGTCTCAATTTATTTTAGGTACTCAGATAAAAGACCTGATCCGCACACAGTTATGCACACATTTAGCTTTAAAGTCAACTGGATTTCTCATGTGAGTTAAGCAATGTTCATAAGTGTTTTTCAGAGTGGCCAGGTGCAATATACACACATTTTAGGGTCTAACATTACGACCTAGGAATCTGATTTCCCTGCAAGTGTCCAGGTCCTCACACTAGCGCTCACTGAGCTGGTGCAAGTATAAATAGCAGTGTAGCCATGACAGCACGAAAAGCAGCAGCAGAGGCCACAGCTGATCCGTGCCAAGTACACACATGCCTGAAACCAATGGGCTCAACCGTGTCTCCACTGCCACTACCTATGCTACTGCAGCGACACTGCTACTGGATGAGAGCTAGCATGGATATGTATACAGGAGCAGGGGAATCGCATCCCAAACTCGTAATGCAGACATAGCCTTAGAGAATTACAGAAATTATTAAATGAATTTAAAATGCTAACGTCAAATCCCATTATATAGGGTTTACTCACTTAGTTTCAGTGTTCAGACAAGTACAAAATAGAGCTGAACATACCCTATATTTATATTAGGCTGTTTGTGTGTTGACATAGGTAGTCACTGTTTTAATTCCGGGCAGAATCTAAGTCAGATTTAGTTCCCCCCCGCCGAAAACCAGAAGCTTACACCATACTGAATAACTTTGGGAGAATGTGAGTACTTGGCCATTTTAAAAAGGAATATAAAATAGGTAGTGGGGTTATAAAACTCTTAACCCACTGATCTCACTTTAAAAAAAAAAACAATTTATCTTCTTACAATGGATACTTCAGGGATTGCTGGCATCCAAGGATTAAGACGAGCTGGAAAGCTTCTTGAAAAAAGCAATGGAAAAACTTAAGGCCAGATTTTCAAAAAAGCTCAGCTCCTATTTAGGCACTAAAATGAAGTGGGAAGCATTTCCAAAGGGAGCCTTTCAAGGTTTTGAGCACTTTAAAATCTGCCTACTTTATTTTTTATGTCTAAGTGCCGAACTCTTTGGAAAATCTGGCCCTTAAACACTTTAAAAGGAAACTCAGTGATATGCATAATTTTTAAATGATTTTCCTTCTCACTGTTTAACCACCTCCAAAGTTTAGAGCTAAAATATATTTCCTAATTTTTTCTCCACCATTGCGCACTGATGTTTTGCTATTGTAGGGATGCTTGTGAAAGATTGCCTCTTATTTTGAAGATACGTGAAGCATTTATTCTGAAACTTTTCTCCCCAATACACAGAATTACATATATATATTTTGTCTGACATATACCAAAAAATAGATCAAGTCAGGGACTTCCAACAGCAAGGTCCCTCTACATAACAGCTTGGAAGAACTCATCACAAAAATGTTTAGACTAGTCAATTATTCACTAAACCTTTCCACTAATACAAGGTTAGTCTTACCTGTAATGTGTATCTATTTTTGAAACAGTTGGTAACCAGTTCCCCTTTGGATAGCTGATACAACCAGGTCAATTTTCTTCCACTATGACGACTGGCATAAAAAGCTGTAAATCTCTGATAACTACGTTCCAACTGTATAAAAAAAAATAAATAAAAAGAAAAACCAACATCACTGCATTTTCACACTTCGAAGTGTATTTGAATCTACACTGTGTAAATCAATCCAGACCATGCTATGTTAACATGTCCTTTCCTAGGGGGGCCTAGATAGAAAATTTTTAAAAAGGTTCTTTAGACTTGGATATGAGTTTCCTTTTGTGATCAACTTCACTTTAAATGTCATACGGAAAGGAAAAGAAAACAGGCTTATTGTTCTTTTGTTCCTTTGCAAAGTTTTAAGGAGGGCCTTAAAGGTAATTTCCTTTCTCTCCCACTTCTCCTCCGCTACTCATTTGTTAAATTAGAAATTCAGGTCTTATCTAGGCTGAGGACCAGGGTGACTGGAAAAGCAGTCATCATGTCATCTCAAGAATCAACAGACTGAAAGCTGAGTAATTGAGAGGGTCAAAGTTTCTTAATAAAAACAAGAGCTTTAAAAGCATACACCCATTTTATTTTAATGACTACTGAACGTTCTGGAGGAAGACCATCTTGTTTAAGGATTATGAGTGCCTCACCGGTAACAAAGAAGGATTACATATCTCAGACCTCCCCCTGGGAGGTCCTCCAGCACTATCAGGAAAGACAAGACTTGACATTTCTGATACTTCGAAAATAAAAAAATAAGCAGGAAAAAAATCTTTCAGGCTTTCTTTATACACCATAAAACAAGAGAGATTAAAATCTAGGTTTTTTTATTTGAATAAATCTTTTGCAGGTCACCCTTAACAGAGGCAAAAATGTTCAAGTCATGACATTTTATGTCAGAAAATACTTTGGAGTTCATTTTAGGTCATCTTTGAGAAAAATTTAAACTGAAACTTTAGTTTATTTAATAGAAGATTAAAAAGCTTATCACCTCACCTCAGAAGGTAGAGCAAATGTGCAGGACTGCTGAAAGGGCCATGATCCAGAACTGAGAACCTGTATACTGAAATCCACTGGAAAAGAAATGTACATAGATTAACAGGCTAACAGCTATCTCCCCTTTGGTATTACGGACCTGTCAATGTGCAGTTTGGGAGAGGCCAACTCAAAACAGGAGAGGTTTCTGTGTTGCCTGACCTGACATGGTGATGACACTAATATCAAAAGACAATGGGTAAGTATTACTATTTATAAAACATATTGTTAAAGTTAAAGACACCGTGTGAGGCAAAGATAGGGTTGAGGGGTCAAATGTGTATTTACTCAAAATCTAAGTCACAATTCCCTGACATTTGCATGCATTTAATCTCATTCATTACCCTGTTAGCTTTTATCTTCTCTTTTTGAAAAGTAATTTTTTTTTTCAAAATTAATGCATAACCATTTAATTAAAAATCTGCTACTGGCAAGAACACAAGTGGCAAATTTATGTTTGTCAATTGCTTTTGAGACTCAAGAGTGCATCTATAATGGGGGAGAAAAAACAAAATGCAACAGCGAGTCTCAAGAGTTCAGGTCAACTGACTCGGGCTTGTGGGATTAACGCTACAGGGATAAAACCAGAAGTGCAGATGCAGGGGCACTGGAAGGGGGAGGTTTGAGGTGGCCATGGCCCCATCACTTTTTACTTGCCTTAAGGACGAGCAACGGGGGCAGAGATGAGTGAGTGGGGGGCAGGGCCTCAGAGGAAAGAAGCAGAGCAGGGGACGGGGCCATGGACTGGGTGCCGTTGGCCCCTCCACACTTTTAGGGAGCTTCCAGTGCTCCTGTGTAGACGTTCTCATTCAGGTTGGAGCCCAGGCGCTGAGACCCAGCAAGGAGGTGGATCTCAGAGCCCGGGCTCCAGAACTAGTGGGAACGTATACATTGCTATTTTTAACCCTGTTGACCTGAGGTCTGAGACTTTTTTGTTTAGCGCAGAAAGACTCTGAGACGCAAGGCAGAAGTGAATACATTATGTATTATAAAACAAAATTATATAAAACCTGAAGTAGGCCTTGTACAACATGGAATGAAATTAAGTAAAAACCAAGTGCTAACTCTATCTTGAAGCATTCCATTTCAAGAAGAAACTGAAATCAGAGACCTCTGAATCTGAAAGCAACAGGCCTAATTACTGAGCTAACGGAAGACCTGCCATTTTTCAGTACTATTCCTAGAAGTCTCCCTGTTTAAGCAATGATTTTGGTCAAAGGAAAAAACATTTAACAAAAACACCAGGGTTCACTTTTAGCAGAGGAGGATACACTATGTTGAATCCTCTCTCTGTAACAGCTAACCCCACTGTGATCTGTAAAACAAAAAGGTTCTGTTCAGATCAGGAGGCATGAGGTGCTGTTTGAAGACAGTGAACAGACCCAAAAAAAGTCTATCCAAGCTGAAGTTTTAATAACTCTAGCTTTCAGTGGCATGCTACATGAATCAAATACGTCCCTCATTCAACACTTGGTCATTTCCCCTTGTATCTCTATAATTAAGGGAAGGTGTGGCTAATTTAACAATAACTCAGCTTTTAAGAGAAAGGTTATATTAAATTTAATACTTACAATCTAATGGTTCTGAATTTGTCAGATGCTTTTTAAATTGCTCGTTCAAGTCCTTGCTTACGCCAATGTCTTGGAACATCCTCTGAAGTTTAGAGGTGTACTCAAAACCACAAGCTTGCTGTAATTAAAGAGCACAGCTTTGTCTGAAAGACCATGTATTTTGACACGGGGAGAACAAACAGAACAAGAAAAGTAGGGTTTTTCTGATTGGAATCAATTTTGCGAGAGGAATATATGACAAACCATTTCCTGCATGTCCAAAAATCACTCGGAAAGTTCTGAACCCATTTAGACAAGTCGTGTTATTTTAACTGCTTTTTCTGTAGCTGTTCTGCCACCAAAAATGTGAGATCAACATTTTAAAAATTAAAATAAATCAGCCAGGAAACACTGTCATGAAAATTTACCAGTCAACATCTGGTCTACTTGCTAGCCCTTTATATCAACTATGAGAATGAGAAAGTTACTGACATTTTATTTCCCCGTCAAAAAACTGCATACAAGTAAGGTTTGACAAGATTGTTGTAAACAGCAGCACAGTTATGCAAAAAAATTATGAACTCAGCTGTATTGATTAATGATTATTTCACTTATTGCCGATGTCAAATTGCAACACAAAAAAAAAATCAACTGTTCTTAAGGTAGCATTCAGGGTTATTGAAAAAAGTGGCAGATTGGGAAGCTGTTTCAGCAGTTGTTTGCTTCGATAGCAGGCCCGCTTAAAGATCTCATTCCAAAGCAAGACATACTGACTGCAAATCCAAGGGGTCAAAAGACTTGTGAAATTTAAGTTTTGTATTTTTCTGATCAAATATTAAAAAGTGCATATATGCATTGTGTGTGGAAAGTAACAGTGCCTCCCTAGCCAGTGCTAAGAAAGGGAAGACTTACCTTGAGTTTAGAGATCATGCTTGCTTCAGCATCATCACTAGCACTGTTCTGGTGTACCAATCTCTTTGCCAGCATTTTAGCATAGAATTTTTGAAACACATCTTTGTCTTCAATGTACTTGAATACAACCATCTGGAAAAGCCAAAAAAACTTTTTACAAAAGGAACACACCTGAAAATTTGTATCAAATCCAATTTTTAACTTCATTAGAAGTGTCATACATTTTAGTGTCATAATTATTTTTGAAATGTAAATACAGTCTTTTTTTACATGTTAACCTTTGAAATAGTTCAGAAGAGATAAAATGGTTTTACACCATAATACACATTAAAGAGAATGTCGATTCTGTTCAGCTTTCTGAGGTATACTATTGATTGAATTAAGTCTTTTTTTTTTTTTGGAAAAGGACTTTTGGCATTTTAAAAAAATGTTACCAAAAGATTTAAGCAATGAAATACACAGAATAAAAGTGTTGATTGCACATGACCTGCAACCTCCTGTGATGACCTTAAAATTATTATGAAATTTAAAAGTTTATGTAGAAGAAAACTCTATTTAAGAATCTTACCACTTGATTGAGTGTATCTTCTAGCTCTGCTTCTTCTGGATTCTTTGAGCTGCAGTCAAAGAAGTGCATTACTGAGCAAATTTATTATTCATAACTTATGAATACCGTTACATTCTAGATTCATGACTTGTGAACTGAAACTTAAGTCCAATATGGGATTTTCTGTGGAAAACAAGTTTTTCGAACATGTTCCTATTCAACTTTTTATATAGACTTTTCAAGCAATTATTACTGCATTATCTTTTTTGCTTGAATTAAGTGTTTAACAATGTAAATATATTTCTACAGATGCAATGTGTAATTTCACTTCACAACTACGATAATTGTAATGTTTTAAACAAAAAAACCACTAGAAAATTAATTTTTAACTTTCCCTGTAAGACATACCTTTTCTTTAGCAAGGAGTCACAATATCGTGCCAGCAACTCTGGAGATTTACTGGATGACTGAGCCATTTTTGTCACTGCATTGTTATTTATAAATCGACCACAAGCCTGCAAATTACACAAGGAAGTCAAAGTTTTGGAAATCCCCCTAAATCAGAGAGATCTAATGGTTACCACAGACATTAAACATACATTACCTTATCTAGTGCAGCCACAAAGCCAGCATCATTGTTGAAGGCAGACATGACTAGAGCATTATATTTCTTATGGACATCCAACACTGTCTGTACATACATTTTTGGATCCTGAAAGAAAACACAGCCTGTTGATTGCAATGAAATTTGTTCAACTTTCTGCAAGTTTCTCCAAACAATGCAGTTGACCAATGTCTTCTTAAGCTGGTTTATAGAGTGAAAGTTTACACACCAAACAAACAAAAAAAACAACAAAAACAAAAAAGGGGGGAGGGGAGGATTAGAAGTATTTTTTTAAAAATAGAAATAGGTTCTAGACTATTAAGAGCATTCAAGTGACAAGGAAAACTTATTCTAGTCCTTACTACTGTAACAGATATGTAACTTGCTCAGAGTTGATTTATATATACTTGGGCATGCTGAAAGTACAACGGCTGCTGCATAAAGTATAAAGGGAAAAGCATGGATCTATTCAACCCTGTGCTATGCAAGTGTCCAACAAGGACATGTTTTGAAGACGTAAGTTTAATTAAAACCAGACCTAATAGTTTGTTGTTCAATCAACCACAACACGGCACTTTCTAGAAGAAACCATGCAATTAGTTTTTCCAATAATAAGAGCTTACTTTTGAATACTTTACTAGAATGCAAATTATCATTCAAATTCCCAACAAAGTGAGCCAAGATAGAAGCTAACAAAAAATGTTCCCCCCTTGAACAATTACAAAAACTGCAAGAAGGTTCAGAATCAAGATAGTAAGAAACATTTAAGGCAAGAATCTCAGGAGCACATGCAAGACAAAAATTGAGTATCCTGATCACAAAAATGTCACAAGAGTACTGATGAGGTAAGGAAAGAAAAGTAGCTGTATATAGGTGTCGGGAGAAGTATGTTCAGGGAAGTAGGCATGATGGTTCCCAAGGGAATGCAATGGAGCTGGTGGCTCTTAGGAGGACAGGGAGACAGGTGCAAGGAATTTGTGGAGGGAAAGCAGCAGAGAGGACGAATGCAATTGTTTTTTCACTTTATCACCTGCTCGAAAGTCAACCACTTTGCTTAAAACACACAACTCTTTAGCTGTAGCTTCCAGAATCCTCATGTAACTTGAAGCCATCAGTTTATTTTTTTAAGAGGTCATTTTGAAAACCAGATATGATTTTGCTTTTGAAGTCAGAGCTCAGTTTTGTTTTGTTTTTTTTCTTTTCATTAAGAGTCTATACTCTGCTCTCCCTAACCTCCCTTTCCTCTCCATAAAATTAAAATGCCTTCAAGTATATGAAAAATAATACATCTGATGACCTGTAATGTGTGTGTTTAAAGTAAGGCTGTCGATTAATCGCAATTAACTCACGCGATTAACTAAAAAAATTAATCGCGATTAATCAGTTTTAATCGCACCATTAAACAATAGAATACCAATTGAAATTTATTAAGTATTTTGGATATTTTTCTACATTTTCATGTCTACATTGTATTCTGTGTTGTAACTGAAATTAAAGTGTATATTTTTATTACAAATATTTGCACTGTAAAAATTATAAAAAGTAGTATTTTTCTATTCACCTCATACAAGTACTGTAGTGCAATCTCTGTCATGAAAGTGCAATTTACAAATGCAGATTTTTTTTGTTATTTAACTGCACTCAAAAACAAACAAAGCAATGTAAAACTTCAGAGCCTATAAGTTCATTAAGTCCTACTTCTTGTATCGCTAGGACAAACAAATTTGCTTATATTTACAGGAGATAATGTTGTCCTCTTCTTATTTACAATGTCACCAGAAAGTGAGAACAGGCAATTGCATGGCACTTTTGTAGCTGGCATTTCGAGGTATTTACGTGCCAGATATGCTGAACATTCATATGCCCCTTTGTGCTTCGGCCACCATTCCAAAGGACATGCTTCCATGCTGAGGATGCTCGTTAAAAAAATAGTGTGTTAATTACATTTGTGACTGAACTCCTTGGGGGAGAGCTGTATGTCTTCTGCTCTGTTTTACCCACATTCTGCCACATATTTCATGTAATAGCAGTCTCAGACGATGATCCAGTACATATTGTTTTAAGAACAATTTCACTGCAGATTTGACAAAACACAAAGAAGGTACCAATGTGAGATTTCTAAAGATAGCTACAGCACTCGACCCAAAATCTGAGAGGGACGAGGTATGGAACATGATTTCAGAAGTTTTAAAAGAGCAACACTCTGATGGGGAAACTACAAAACCCGAAACACCAAAAAAGAAAGTCAGCCTTCTGCTGGTGGCATTTGACTCAGATGATGAAAACGGACATGCGTTGGTGCTCACTGCTTTGGATTGTTATCGAGCAGAACCCTTCATCAGCATGGATGCATGTCCCCTGGAATGGTGGTTGAAGCATGACGGGACATATGAATCTTTAGCGCATCTGGCATGTAAATATCTTGCGATCCCGGCTAAAACGGTGCCATGTGAACACCTGTTCTCACTTTCATGTGACATTGTAAACAAGAAGAGGGCAGCATTATCTCCTGCAAATGTAAACAAACTTGTTTGTCTGAGCGATTTACTGAACAAGAAGTAGGACTGAGTGGACTTGCAGACTCTAAAATTTTACATAGTTTTATTTTTGAATGCAGGTTTTTTTGGTACATAATTCTACATTTGTAAGTTCAACATTCATGATAAAGAGATTGCACTACAGTACTTGTATTAGGTGAACTGAAATACTTTTATTTTTTTTTTATTTTTTTTACAGTGCCAACACTTGTAATAAAAAATATATAGTCACTGTACACGTCGTATTCTGTGTTGAAATTGAAATCAATATATTTGAAAATGTAGAAAACATCAAAAAATATTTAAATAAATGGTATTCTATTGATAACCGTGCAATTAATCTTTTTAATCATGCGATTAATCGAGATTAATTTTTTTAGTCGCTTGACAGCCCTAGTTTAAATTTATTTAAATACTATTTGGTGAAGCAATCTCAACCTCTGTGGATTGAAGTCAGGTGCCTCATTACATGTTTTCTGTACAATTCCAATTATGATTAATCAGCACTACTTTCTTTACTAAGAAGATTGTACTAGTAAATTGTTGTAGATGAAGGATATGAGAGAGACAGATGGGCAAGGCAATATATTCTAATAACCAACTTCTATTGGTGGAAAGGAGAAGCTTTTGCGCGCTTACAGACTTGAAAAGGAGCTCTGTGAAGCTCAAAAGCTTGTCACTTCCATCAACAGAAGTTGGTCAATAAAAGATATTCCCTCAACCACCTTGTCTCAATTTTCTATAACCACATTCAGCATACATAATACTGTACACATCAGGTAAAAAAGAGCAAACAAATTCATTAAAAAGCTTACAAGTCGAGAGGCACAAGTACATATGATGCTGTACAGAGTAAAGAATATTTGATCATTAGACCTAGAATGCTTCATGAAATGGCATGTTTCATGGTTTTTGAAAGGGAGGAATTTATTGAAAGGGTTAGTTCAAGCAAATGGGTCAACATAAAAGAAGGCACAAATTGAGCAGTGGGTGAAGGGGAAAAGAAGGAGGTTGGTAAAAAAAATAGCAATAATATAGTTGTACTGCAGTTATTTTATTTTCAACCTACTGTAACCATTTAGTCCCCAACAGGACTATCAGAGGCATTCAGCTCTCATAAAATGAGCTGTTAGCAGTCAGATACAAAACTACATCTGAAAAGATACTTGCATTTAAAGCAGCTTCTCCACATTTCTCAATAGCAGCTAGACCCTGATTATGAATGTGCGTTTCCAAGAGTTTTTTCAGCTCTCCGAGGCCATCCTGGATTCGAGATACAAGGTTATACATGCGTCCCAAGTCTGGAAAAAAAGGAAGACAATCTCTCTCATCTGTATTAACACTAGGATTTCCTTTCTCCCAACACCCCAATTCTACATTTTTCAAGTGACCAAAGAACTGAGCCACACATTCGTCAACATATGCATACTTGCAAGTATTATCACATAATAAGCCAAACAATTTACACTAAACAATTCCAGAGTGGTGCAAAGAACTAGATGGCACTGAAGAACAAAAACTTGCTAAAATTAAAAATATTCTGATTAAACTACTTCTTACTTCTAGTACACTTACACACAAATCAAGAACAAAGATCAAGATATAAACTATAGTAAATGTTAACTTATGTCTAGTTTTCATAAAGTTTCTACATTTGAGAGGAGGTGTCATATGTCATACAACTTACTTTAAACTTTGAGTATGTAAATTAGGCCTTTTTGAATCCAAGTCTTCTATAATACATACCACTGTTTCAGCACCACTTGTAGGAACAGTGGTGGGAGTGCTAATGTAGCGTGGGCTCCAGCTGGCCACCAGCATAAGCACTGTATTCTGTAATCCTGCTCAGAGCAAGTATGGTACCTAAAACCTCAGGAACCACCTGCAGCTTTCTTTTCTTTTAAAACACGCTAATGCTCCCACTGGTGGGAACAAAACAGCGTTAGCAACTGTGGGAAATCTGAGGCAAAAAAACCAAGTGTAGACATGGCCTTGGAGTGAAACCTGAAAAAGTGAGTTATCTGCAAATTTTGTTACAGAGGAGTGCTACTGCCTCTCCAACCCCTTGTTTCAGGGGGAAACATTCAATGGCTGCTAAGTTTCAGTAAATTCTATATTTTGTTTTATAAGCCCAACTAAGAAGAAAGGGATGATTGTCAAGAGCCTCACTACAAAACTCAAGGTGACAGGATGAAAAACAATCTGCTCTTCATTGTCCTCCTCTGAACAATTTATTATAAACCTGAAATTACTGGATGTTAAATAAAATGGAGAGAGAAGACAGTAGGATTGCTTGCTAATACCAAAATACAAAACACACAAAAAATGGTGCCCTTTACTGCTCCTTTATCATCATGTGGAGCAGTAGTGACTCCTATATTAACGATGGCTATCCCTTTCCATTATAACTCTATTTTCAGTTACTTATAACTTGGTGAACTTTCAGGATGATATATAAAGACTGTCTCAAACTTATTCTGAAAAAGTTTCTCTGAATAGTTTTACATATACACGTCAGGAATATCGGATCCTCAGTTCCCTCTTTTTGTTTCAGGAGCCTGGTAAAATCTTTGGAGGACCTGAACAGTAATGCTATGTGAGAATGTAACTCATGCTGTTGCTAGCCATATCCCAAAAGTAAGGGAACAAGGGTTGTTGCATTATATTGTCTATACTTGGAAGTAAATGGAAAACAAATGCAACAAGCTTGCTGAAGCTTTCATGGATTTATAAGGTAATTTTTCCTAAGTCATCTTATATCCTGTGTCCAATAAAGATAATTATTTCCTGCATTAATTCTACTGATGTGCCTAGATACCGGCTGACTAATGCACACCATGTCCTGTATTATTACTTGCATAACATGTTTAAGCAATTACACAACACTTCAAGAGTGAGTGGTCTGTAATACAGTGTGCCTAACATACTTTATATATGGAGGACCTCAAAGGCAGCATGTTTCCAGGAGATGAACTATAAAGAATATATTACGGTGTGTAGTTATATAAAGTTTTCATTGCTGAGTTTAAGATAATCTAAAATAGTTTGCTTCAATGTTTCATGAGGTTAGATCCAATGACTTGAGACTTGACTGGGCTAGATACAGATGATTTATATTAAGCTTGAATTCCTGGTTAATGCAGCTGTTTCTAGCCATGCGGAGTCACAAGACACTGGAGCTTAAAGTGATCAAGGAACAATTATGGTCAGTTATGCAAGTGGAACCAGTTTAAGAGGAAAGGAAACTTCAAATGGTAGCTGTTTAAAAGCTGCTCAGAGATTTAGAATCATAGAGGTCAGTAAAATTAATGCACAGAGACTGGTGAGGTGGATAAAGATGCACGCTAAATGTTTTAAGAAAAGGTATTTATCACCATATGGTACATATAAAGAGCTCACATGAACCATTATAAACTTAGTAATTTTTTTTAAAGTCAGTTAAAGGATGATTAGACAAAGAATTTTTCATGATTGGGGAAGAAATTTATATTTTCAGAAGGGATTTATATTTTAAAAAGGCGTTAAGTTTCTTATTGCTCGGTATCCATATATTGCAAAATTGCTTCAATTAGGTGGGAAAGAAATGTCTGATTTACAGTGCCAGTCACTTAACAGCTATTTTGAGAGGTAACTAGTGTACACCAATTTAGCTACACTTTCAACTAGCAACAGTTTATTTTTTTGATCAATTAACCCCACTGATTTGTCCATTTTTTTTTTTAAATCTTAGGTATGGATATTTTTAGTACAAATAAATGGTTTCTTAGCTCTTCTTCCGCTAGTGAAGGAAGGGAATCACTGGCCTAGCTTCATCGTATAACCCTTAGTACCTTTGACAAAAATAAGTAGTGTTGGCCACTCTGTTCTTCCATTACAGTTGTTTTTAGTAATTATTTCTTTATGTTATCTCAGCTACTTCACTCAAATTTCTTCAGAACTTTCAGATTAATACCTTCCAGCTCTGGAGATTTATCGTACCATTTATTCAGTTCTATTGCTTTCTTTTTTAAATCTTTATTTCAAACAGAGCCCACCTTCATTTCCTGTAAAGCTTACCTCAAGATTGATGTAACCCCCTTCATCAACATCTACAGTTAAGAGTTCTACACAAACAAATCACTTTGCTGTCCCGATCTTTGACTGTATCTTCTGCAAGACACTAAATCTTGGCATTTAGCAGAGCCACTGTCTCTCCCACAGAAGTCTTATACCTATTACACTTCAAATAATTTCTCAAGAATATCCTTTGGCTATTTATTCCTCAAATTCTCTCTCTCAGCTCTTATAGTCTCCATTTTAGATTATCTAGTGAAGTTTATATTCATTTCTAGAAGCATCACTTCAGACCCATTTCCTCTAATAAAAAGGATCTCTTTTTGCCTGAATGAAAACTACTTGTACCTTATCATGCAATCATTTTCCCCCTTTTTCTTATGCATTCCATCTGTGATTCTAACCAGTATTTTGAGAAGCCACCAAGTTGATCCTATGGATTTCATTTTATTAAAATTTCCCATTTCTCAGATTTTCAAATTTATTTATTTACTGTTAACCCCAACAAAGACATCAAAGTTAGCAATATTATGATCACTATTACCATTAAGGAGCATCATCTCTGAGAAACTCCCAAACTGAAATTTGAACCAACTCACCTTCATTTTTGTCAGCATCCAATAAGTTCTGAAACTCTGTATGAAAAATCTCCAAGTGTTTTTCAATAAGTACTTGCTCGCATTTTCGTGCTAATTCATCCTGCGTGCTTTCATGGAGATAAACCTGAACTCTACGCTGTTCCTCCAAAAGACGAGCTTCTGCCTACAGAACAAAGATACATGTACTAACATAGAACAGCCGAGATAGAACAGCAGTAAAACTAATGACTGCAGTGTAAACAGAGTTAAAAAAAAAAAAGTATGTTGATATAACATTATAGTTGTCTAGTTAAATAAGAGAATATAGTTCTCACAGGAAAAATAATGTGACTCCTTTTTATTTATATGTAATATTATGTGTTAGTGTTCATGTCATTAATTTTATATCTTAATCTGTTGAAACAGAAAAACGTCATTGAGAAAATATTTTCATCCTATGCTGCTGAAGAGCAAAAGTTTTCAAAAAGAAAAAAAAGAGAGAGAAAGCAACCAAGGCAGAGCACCTGTAGAGTTTAAGACATCAGGCTTTCCAGTGCTCTGTTAAAAATAAACATGAACAGAAGGCCCTACATACTTACACAAAAATTAACAGACAAAAATAGACAATTTTACAGTATGTGCACAACAAGAATTAATTTGAGTGTTCATAAATATACAGGATTACTAAAACATTCCCAAATTCATAAACTGCACCAGCATTTATTTTGACCCATGGAGCCTTCCATATATATGTTTCTGCTGATCCAAAATCCTAACTGTCACTAGGGAAACAGTGTTTATTCCAAAATGTAAAACTGAATTTGTTTATACAGCCACCAATTTATCTCTAGTTTGTTTGTAGAATGTGCTCAAGGTTCTCTTTATGATCAATCTGTAAGAACAGTATGTTAGATGATGGGACACGTGTGGCTCCCCACTGCAGATTACTGATATTTTTATTTAAAAAATCCATCACAATAGAAGGGAAATTAGAAGACAAGTTTATTCATATATATGTGAGTCAATCAAGTGCAAATTGCTTTTTGTAGTCTCACTTTACCAATATAGATGATTGTTTCAAGTCCCTTTGCTGACATTTAGCTAGGTGGCTTGCAACAGCCTTCCTTGCACCTCTTCATGTCTGTCTCAATTGATGCCTTACACAGCAGAAAACTGCTTAACTGTATTCCAATTTACCATCTGAGTAAGTAATTATGAGGAGAATGATTCTGTTCCAGGCATTTATATTGCACAAATCACCAAGTATATGAGCATAAGGATCGTCTGATTAAGAAAGAGAGAAAAAATTAATCCTCCTGCGATGTTGGAGTCGGAATACTCCAAGGACACTATATATACACACACTGAAGAGGAAAAAGCAGGAGAAATAATCTAATACCTAATCACAACTAAACAGTTCTGATAACTTGTGTGGGTATTTCTATCAGTGTAGCCAGAGCATAGAAAAGAATTAGTGGAGAAGAAATTTATTTCAGTGATCGAGTATCTAGCCCAATTGCATACTGGGCCACATCCCTTGGTCTGCATGTGTTGTGTGTGTTCCATCCCCCATTAGACTGGTGTCTAATGTGCAGTTTTTTTGGTTTTGTCAGCTGAATTCTTATGAGGGCTGTTCAGCTGGGATTCGAAATTTGATTTCCATGCTGGAGCGCCCTCTGTGAGGAGAAACTAAGATGGTGAAGGTGGTCGTGGACCCAGAGTGTTAGAATTTGCCCTCAGACTATGATTCCCAGTGAGGCTGTGCATTTCCTTTCTAAAGATTTCCTCTGCCCTTGGAGAGCTTTCATCTCTCTCCATGCTTAATATCATCATCTTGGAGGGGAACAAGTATCCTTCTGTGTAATTTTCAGGCCTCCAAGGTTGTCTGGGATCCTGTTAAATTCTGTAAATTTGCCACTAAACCCTGGTTCTTGAAATAGCTGCAATGACCTTCTGACAGCTTTTTTGATGTCCTGCAGTGAGGAAGCCTGGATGAACCCATCGTCTAGATTGGGAATTACTGTACTGGGATTCCTTCACTCTTCAGTGCTGTAGCTAATACTGCCTCTCTTTTTATTTGTGTGTGGTGTTCTCTCTCTCTCTCTCTTTTTTTATTATTATTATTTAGGGAGACCAGACAAAGCCAGGGCAATAAATCAATAGGGAAACAGGAATCGCTGATTCAACAATTATTGGAACATGAAGACAGATGTTTATGAAGTTGACTGACACTCAGTAACTACCGCAAATCCAATGATGCTAGGATGGCTTTTAATGTATCCATTTTGAAATTTTTGTAGATCATCCATTTTAAAATCAAGGACCAAGCTACCTCCTTCCAGTCTATGAGGTATAATGAAATGGAATTGAGAGTGCTCTTGATATAACTATAACTAGGACCATGGTTCCAAAGCACATAAGCATGTTTTCATTAGAGCAGTGGTTCTCAAACTAGGGCCGCCACTTGTTCAGGGAAAGCCCCTTGCGGGCCAGGCTGGTTTGTTTACCTGCCACGTCCACAGGTTTGGCCAATCGCAGCTCCCACTGGCCGTGGTTCACCACTCCAGGCCAATGGGGGCTGCAGAAAGGGCGGCCACCACGTCCCTCGGCCCGCACCGCTTCCTGCAGCCCCCATTGGCTTGGACCGGCAAACCACGGCCAGTGGGAGCCGCGATCGGCCGAACCTGCAGACGCGGCAGGTAAACAAACTGGCCCAGCCTGCCAAGGGCTTTCCCTGAACAAGCAGCGGCCCTAGTTTGAGAACCACTGCATTAGAGTACACAAAAAGCTCTGGGAAGGAAGACAGGATCACTTTGAAGAGTGGGGGAATTTACTGAAGTCAATATAACAGCCATTATCTGAGAAAAAACAAAATCTATTTATTCTGCATACAATAAGACTGACCCAAGGAACCAGGCTGGAAATTGTCAAAGAAACTTTATCAAACTTGTTCCTAATTGTCTGAGAGAGACTTGCCAATGAAACTATCCAAGAATTTCAGTTCTTGATTGGAACAATTTTGTAGGGTCCATTACCCTAGAAGATCTAGAAAAGATAGATTTAATAATCCACTTCTATGGGAACCAGTTTGGTAAGGAAGTGATTTGATGGTTGTTTTCCTTGCGTTTTTTCAGTGTTGTCTCCAGGGCTTATGTACACCATTTAGGTGCCACTGACACTTCCAAAACCACCCCTCAGTTGGCACCTAAATCCCCATGCCACCTAAATTTCTACCAGTTGGCATTTGCAAAGCAACAAAGCCCTGATGTTTCCCCACAGCTAATGAGCAACTTGGAGCCGTAGGTAAAATGAAGTTACTCAGGACCCCTTGTGATGAAAGATTTTGCCTCAGTTGTTCAAATTACCTTAAAAAGGAAGGTTTGCAGAAAAACCTCAGGAGGAGGTTTAAAATTGGAAAAAATATAACTTGCTTAATTGGACATAAAAGAGTAGTGGAAGTGTCAGGCCCCTTTGGGATGCTTAGACTAGTAATTAGTTTTAAGAATAAATCTTTAATTAACTAGAAATTAAGTGCAGTATAAATTAGAAAATCCAGTAATGGAGGGTGATGTAGTGGAAGATTCCATTTCTAAGGCACATAGGGGTCCATTACCTATGATGTAATAATTTCACTTCCTGTGATGCAATGGTAAATTCCACTTCAGCAAAATCCCAGAGAGCTACATTATAGCCCATAAGAATACATGGGGCTTCCAAACAGGAAGTAGCTAGGGGTCATCCACAGGTCAGCTGAAACCCCCCCACAGGAATATATCGTAGCCCATAGGAATACATGGGACTTCCGGTGAGGAGAAGGAGGAGGAACTAGTCACATATTGGTACACATGACTGGGGGTAGCCTGGCACAGAGCCAGCAAAAATCTAGAAGTTGATTGGCTGAGCCTGGGTGACCAAGTTGTATATAAGGGTGACAGCCAGCAGGCTAAACCCTGCAGTGGGATCAGGAGGAAAGAAGAGGCTGCAAGACAGTTGAAAAGATGACAACGCTTAAGCAACAGTGGCAGAAGCCTCAGCGGAACCCTGCAAAGAGAGAGCTGCCTGAAAAGCAGCTATAGCAGCAGCAGCAACCGCAGAATTCCAAGGTTGCTCCAGACAATGGCTGCTTCCATTACCCAGCCAGCCGGGGGCCACTGCAGCAGCTACCCCAGCAGCTACCAAATGGGCTTCCGTCTCTTCTACCTGAGGAGCTGTTTTATCTCAGGAACAGGCAGCGGCTCAACACAGGAGCTAGCAGCTAGAGACCACCAGCGACAGCAGTCAACAGCTGGCAAAGAAATAGCCACCGGCAGTCGTCGCACTCTAACTGTGACAGAGCAGAAGGACCAAAAACTGTCTCAGAGATTTTAAGAAAGCTTTTGTAAGTTTAATCCTTCTTTTATTTACTATCCAAGAATGTATTGGTTTCGTTTGTAAATAAAGCTGGCTGTCTGGGGTCTGAATGAGATCTTCCCCTACCCATCAAGTAACCACCCGGCCAGCAGATGTTTAGTTTAGTATTAAGTATTTGGTACTGAATGTCTAACTAATATATTATTATATGATTATTATAGTTACTGTGACGTTGCACTCCATGTGTTTTATGGAAATATGCTAATGAGTGTGAATATAAATAACTGGAATATGCTTTATGCAAAAGGTCTCTTATAAGGTATCCTTACAAAACTTATGATCTACTGTGTTCATCCTATTTGTATGAATGTATCATTCTTGTATCTGAAGCTAGAAATATGAAGTATTACTCTGAAGTCCTATTGTAACTATGCAAAGTGTGGGCCATTAATGGTGGTTTGGAATCTTGATGGCTCCCATTAACTAGAATCATAGAATCATAGAATATCAGGGTTGGAAGGGACCTCAGGAGGTCATCTAGTCCAACCCCCTGCTCAAAGCAGGACCAATCCCCAGACAGATTTTTGCCCCAGATCCCTAAATGGCCCCCTCAAGGATTGAACTCACAACCCTGGGTTTAGCAGGCCAATGCTCAAACCACTGAGCTATCCCTCCCCCCATAATTGGATAATTGGTTGTAAATGGCTCTGTTTACTTGTAAGCCTTCCTGTATAGGTGTGTGCCAGCCATGGGTAATGAAGTCTCACAGGACATGTGAATATGTCACATGATATTGGAATCCATCGTAAACCTGGTGCTTTTCTATTTAGAAGGAAGGGTGGGAACCCAGAGGGACACAAAGGATTCCCGCCTTGTGCCAAAGATATAAAAGGGGGTGGAACAAAACAAAGGGGGTGGCCAGTCATGAGAAAATCCCTAATTACCACCTGAGCTGGAATTAACAAGAACTGTACCAGGGAAAACGATGGGCCCAGACTAAGAAGTCTAGTCTGTGAAAGAAGCTTATTGGAACATCTCTGAGGGTGAAATTTATCTGTATAGAGTTTCTTAAATGTATTAGGCTTAGACTTGCGTGTTTTGATTTATTTTGCTTGGTAACTTACTTTGTTCTGTCTGTTATTACTTGAAACCACTTAAATCCTACTTTTTATACTTAATAAAATCACTTTTGTTTATTAACAAACCCAGAGTAAGTGATTAATACCGGGGGAGCAAACAGCTGTGCATCTCTCTCTATCAGTGTTATAGAGGGCGGACAATTTATGAGTTTACCCTGTATAAGCTTTATACAGAGTAAAATGGATTTATTTGGGGTTTGGATCCCATTGAGAGCTGGGTGTCTGGGTGCTGGAAACAGGAGTACTTGCTGAGCCGTTTTCATTTAAGTCTGCAGCTTTGGGGGCGTGGTTCAGACTCGGGGTCTGAGTTGCAGCAGGCTAGTGTGTTTGGCTCAACAAGACAGGGTTCTGGAGTCCCAAGCCATCAAAGAAAACAGGTTCAGAGGTAGTTTTAGCACATCAGGTGACAGTCCCAAGGGGGTCTCTGTGACCAAAACTGTCATAGTTATGTTATAGAGTATTAAGTGAATGATTGTATTGTTATTGTTATTGTATTGTAGTGCCATTCATTCTTTTAACTATAATCCTTATATCTATCTCTATTCTTCTACTGTAACCACTCACATCTTAATAAAATATCTTTGTTTTCAAAAATTTACTGCAGATTGTCTATTCTTGATCGGAGGGCTGTATCCATGTCCTTTCAAGGGAAAGCAATCTAGCTGTGGCTTTCCCTGGCAATTCCTTTAGGACAGGCCACAACCTTGGTTACCGGTTTAGATAAAATAAGAATTGAGATTTTAAATCAAAACCAGTGTTTTTAGGCAACATCACTGGTATAGGATAATCTAATCAAATCTTCCAGTAACAGCCTAGGGCATTCTCAAACTAGGCAGGGGAACACCTATTTCACCAGTGGGGCTCAGTCCCACAGGTGGGCTCTGAGCAGACCTAAGACCTAATACCTGTCAGACCTTGAAGCAGAAGGTCCAGATGCAGGCCACGAACCAGATAGCTGGGCAGCCTAGTGCCTACACAAGACAGCCAGAGGCACACAGAATGTGGAGCACGCATGATACAAGTATCGAGCAGAAGACCAAGAGACAGTTTTGGCTGCTAGGCACAGGCTACCTAAGTGGCTAACCCAGCTTAGATGCCTAACTCCAGGAGAGGCTTTACAGCTAAGGATCCTGAGCAGAGGGAGGTGCCTATCTGTGGCCCATTAGCCAGGTGCACCTGGTCAGCTGCTAGGCATCTAAGCCCTTCTCCTTAGCTTCACTCTGGCTAAGTTAGGTGGCTCACAGCTCAGCTTGCTGACTTCTGAGGATCCCTTACTTAGGTGCGTAAATCTCCATTTGCATTGTATAGAGACCCTAGGCACCTACCTCAAGATCGATGATCCCCCTAAGCAACAAGAAGTTAGGGATAGCAACAATGAGCAGATCAAGACCTAAGAACCTTTGAGGATCTGGACCTTTGTCTATTAAAAAGAAAGGCAAGTTTTGGTGGAGATCGCTTCAATCCTAAACCAAGCAATGATTTTAGAATGCAATATTCAGCCCTCTTCCGGTTTGCACTCACATTTCATCCTCCACACATGAGCCTCAATCATTTTGGGAGTCCATATGGATTTCAGCTGCAGGCAGGACAAAGGATTTGAGCGAACCAAGTCACAACAAAGTGGTCACCAGATTCAGGGCACATTACTATCTGCCATTTCGATGCGTTTATCAGCTAATAGGCTGCACAATTACTCTTTGAAGCTTGGCAGAATAAAGAGTGCAGATGATAGGCATCAATTAAAGCAAAAATCACAAAGAACGTCACTGACTTGTTTTAATGTCAAAAGAGGAGACAATATATTGTCAGCAGCAATATACTTGGGCCATTGGGGAAGCGGCATCTGAAATATCTTCACACTGCAAACCAAGCAAAAAAGACCTCTCCCTCCCATGCTGGAATAACAAATGCTCTCAAAGAGAATTCTGCTGAACTTTCCCTAAAACCTGCTTCTCAATGAAAAGGGGATTTTGCCTGGCCAATGAAGGTAAGGCCTAATAGTGCAGGCCTTTCGGTACTGTTTATGAGGCCAGCTTCCAGTGCTGGAACTGAACCCATGAGCCTGTAGACCCTGAGACATAGTTAATAGCTTTTTCACTGGAAAATTTGACAGGCCTTTGGCGCATCTGAATTTATTCCATCACCTCTTTTGCTTTGCCCATTAAGGAGAGTTTCAAATCACTGTAAATACATTGAAGAGGGAGGAATTTCAAACCAGATAAGAGCAACAAAGATAGGAATAAGAACATCTCTGTCCAAATGGCACTGGAAAGACAGCGAATAGTTTTTACTTTGCTACAATAATTAGCATCTTAAGAACTCAAATATCTACATTAGTGCTTACCTCTAATGGACAGCCGGATCCAAGAAATAAGCACTGAACTCCAGCTACTTAATAATAGCTCACCTTTTTCATGTATTCTGTGACTGGGTTCTGTTGCAAGAATTCAGTACTTTCTCTTGTATAAAACCTCTCTGTGTCAGCAAGAAACTGAGATTCAAAAGACTCTTTATAGACAGTTAGTGTAGGTCCCTTTGCAAATGCATCATCTTCATTCAGTCCCAGTTCCACTAAAAAACAAAGTACACAATGATTAATTTATCCTCTGTTAAATGATCTACTGTACACTGAGCGTTTAGTTCTCTATGCAATTAATTATAAATCCCAGAAGTGCATCCTTAATTCTAAACCAATAATGTGCACCAAAAGACGCCCCAATTAATCAGGAATCTATTCTGTATAAAAAATTTAATTCAAACAACTTCATTAAGGATAGATGAAATTGTGGTTGACAATGTGTGCTTACAGTTTTCATCTAAATAAAAACTCAAATAAATTGATTTTCACAACTTGACCTTTGGAACAAAGGTATTCCTTTAGCCTCTTGCTCATCTTCCTTGAGACAGGTATATATTTCAACTAGTGAATAAAGTGGTCTTTATTTAATCAATCATTTGAATTATAGCATTTAAGAGCCCTAGGCTATGTCTACACTACAGTTGGGATCGACGCACTGAGATTGATCCACCAGCGGTCGATTTACGGGTCTAGTGAAGACCCGCCAAATTGACAGCAGATTGCTCTCCAGTCGACCCCTGTACTCTACCCCTGACGAGAAGAGTGAGGTAAGTTGACGGGAAAGTTTCTCCTGTCGACTCCCCGTGGTGTAGACCCCGCGGTAACTCAACCTAAGGTACATCAACTTCAGCCACATTATTCATGTAGCTGGAGTTGCGTAGCGTAGGTCGACTTATGGCGGTAGTGTAGACATAGCCCCAGTCATGGAACAGGATCCCATTGTAGTAGGTGCTATGCAAAAAGAGAAGAAAACAGTTCCTGAAAATTAATAGTTACTTCACACAAACCTGAACTTCAGCTGAATTCAAAAGTCTGACAAATCCACTGTATAAGGAAAATCAGAACTGTAAGTAAAAGGATGTCCTTAACCTGTCCCAATGTATGAAAATACTGTGACATGCAGTTACCAGGAATTTAAACAGAACAGGATCATCATATTCTCTTATGCCACTTCACATTTTCTAAGTCAATTAATTGTGAGAACCCCATAAAGAGTGCAGCCTTGAAAAAATGTGTTTTCCTAGAGAAGCTGGCAAAGGCAGCAATATAAAAATTAGCCAGGACTGTATGCCTTGGTCAGCTTCAAGCTGCTGATTGTACTACAGGAACACTTCCCTCCTCTGAGGAGTTTGAAAGAAAATGGGAATTACCTGATCATAAAGAGTTGGGGGAAAAACACAAACCAAAGGCTGTGGGAGAAAAATGTGTGAACTGGGAGATTTGGGGGGGAAGGGGAGGAAAGAAGAAATATATGAAAAGATGACAAGGAACTACAAAAGATGCACATAAGCAAAAGGGTAAGAAGAAATAAACTTTGGGGTGGGAGGGTGGGGCCGGGGACAAGAGAGAAATAAATAGATGCTTCTATGTTAACTAAAGCCAAAGGAAAAGGAAAAACCCCACCACTTCATAGAAAGTAAAGTTTTCCTTTTCCCCTTCCATTTTGAAAATATGCATTTGAGAAGGCAACAGTGAGAGAAGACAAAAGTAAGAAACCAAATCTATATTTGAATGATCTCCTAATTTTAATATTAAGCACAATGACAAATTTTCCAGCAATGTGTAGGGAAATGAGCCACTCAACTCCCACTAACGCTAAATACACCCTTTCTTAAATTCTTAAGACAGCAATGATGTTCTATGTTCTTGGTTATTCTACAAAGAAATCCCACTATATATTTTTCTGTAAAGAAGGCAACTGGGAACATTATAGTTCTTCCAAATGTTTACCCAATAATAAATCATAAAAGAGAATTGCTAACTTTTTCTATAGGTTGTTCATAATGTCAGAGAAAAAGATTAATGCCCTGATCCGACAAGCTGCTTCACCTGGGCAGAGACATTGACTTATTCAATAGCCTCTGCATGGGCAGCAGAAAGCAGCTCATGGAATCAGGGCCTAAATAATTTTTTAAGATAAAAAGCCAACATCAGACTCTTATAGTTTGTAGACATTGAAATGTATAGGCTTTTGAGTTTAGTCACTGAACAGATAATTAGAAAAAGATGATGTACTTAGCCCATTATTTCTGACAAATTATGTGTAAATTATATTAGAATATGTATGTATGTGCATTATATACACATACATGGTTCAGAATATATTAGTAGTTGCAATTTATTTTATAAAAATAATGAAGTCATAATAATACAGAAGAACTCACTCCAGTGTACTACTATTAAATTTGCTGAAACACAGAAAGAGACTACTCTTTTTTTGCAATTTAGCAAGAGTGAGGATGAGCAATGTTTGACAATTATGAAATACATTTAATAACTATACACTGCAAGGAGGATTGTGAAATTTGCATTATATAATGATATACAAAGCACCAGATGCTTCATGGAAAAATTTCTGAAAAATCTTTGGAAATATTGAGGGGGGGAAAAAAATCCCCAAACATCTAGGATTAGTACTAAAACCAGCCTAGACAACCCAGTTTTATCTTCAAAACCAAGTTCCAGGGCAGAAAACCCAGGAAGAACTGAAACAAGGCAGGCAAAAGATCCAGGGACTTTTAACAGAATTAGTATTTCTAGTATTTCTTACCAAAGCACAATTTAGACCTTCATAAAAGATCTATGGTTATAGCACTTATAACCAGAATATTTAAAGCACTGACAGAGAAAACTAAAACAGACAAGAAGTGCAATTAATTTTCTCATAATAGTGAATCCAGTGAGACAGGTGTACAATTTGTTTGCATTGTGTGTTAAGGAAAACAGTACTTTAAAATTAGTTAAGCTCTATTCTTTAAAAGTGTTAAGGAACCACTATTTGGAGTATATACTAAAAGAAGGGGTTTGAAAAGAATAAGCTCTTTGTGGAATTTTTTGCATATTCTTGACAGCCATTACAGTAATTTAATATGGGTTTAACAAAGAGAAATTTTTAATGCTTAACATGTAAATGAAGTTTAATACTTTAAAACAGTAGTTCTCAACCAGGGGTATGCGTATCTCTGGGGGTATGCAGAGGTCTTCCAGGGAGTACATCAATTCATCTAGATATTTGCCTAGTTTTACAACAGGCTATATAAAAAGCACTAGCAAAGTCAGTACAAACTAAAATTTCATACAGACAATGACTTGTTTATACTGCTATAGATACTATACACTGAAATGCAAGTACAATATTTATATTCCAATGGATTTATTTTATAATTATGTAGTAAAAATTAGAAAGTAAGCATTTTTTCCAGTAACAATGTGCGGTGACACTTTTGTATTTTTAGGTCTGACTTTGCAAGCAAGTAGTTTTTAGGCGAAATGAAACCTGGGGGTATGCAAAACAAATCAGACTCCTGAAAGGAGTACAGTAGTCTGGAAAGGTCGAGAGCCACCGCTTTAAAAACCATGTAAGGTATTTTTATTGTGCATCTGAAATATAAGGCAGTTGCATGGGGAACACTGAAATTTAGCTTTGTAAGCAAAAATTACTATAAATAATTAATGATTATGGAAACTGTATGACATTATGGTTTCCATAGTGTGTATCACAGAAACTAGCTCAAATGCCTACTTTCACATTATTCATGTCAAAAAGGAATTTTCTTTTAAAAACGTACAGATTGTTTGGATAAATAAATTAGGCACACACACAAATTAACATTCACTCACTCCCCTGGAGGACACAATATCAGAATTTAATGCAAATGAAAAAAAAATCCATGTTCATGGTGCAGCTCATATTTTTGTTCCAAAACAACATTTTTGTTCTATCTACAGCACAGTCTTCTTAAATAATTTCTTGGTAACAATGAAATGGAGATTATTGCTTTTAACTGGCGGTTCTTTGAGGTGTGTGGTCCATATCAGTATTCCACACATGCGATACCATGTGTACGACATGCCTGAGTGCAGAATTTTTTGCAAGCAGTGCCTGTTGTCCCGCACACGAGCCGTAGCTCTTCTCATGCTCCAAACAGAAGGCAGAAAAGGTTGTGTGGGCCGACATCACTCCAGTTTCCAATTCTTACTGTAGTTCAAACATTCTGCAGCACAGAGGATGGAGGGTGGGTAGTAGAGCACACATCTTGAAGAACCTCCAGTTACAGTAAGTAACCTTCATTTCTTCTGTCAAGAAATGGTCCCTGTGTGTATTCCACACGTGGGAGATTAACAAGCAGTGGTGAGATGGGGTGGGTAAAAGAACACAGAAGTGTAGTTGACTGTAGTACTGCTGCCCTCACAGCTGTATCCACAGTTATTGACTGGACCAGAATATAATGTCTCGTGAAGGTATACGAAGACCTCCAAAAAGCTGCCCTACATATCTCTAGGAAGGCTATATCTCTCAGCAATGCAGCTGAAGTAGCTTCACCGCCCCTCTGGAGAGGGAATATAAGCTAGTTGGTAAGAAAGGGTAATACAACCTGAGATTCATTTTGAAAGTCTCTGCCTTAATATAGTTTGACCCCTTGATCTCTCTGCTATGGAAACAAATAGTTAAGGTATCTTTCTAACATCCTTCATTCTTTGCAAATAAAAAGCTAAAGTCCTTCAGAGATATCTACGGAATACCATCTCTCTTCATCTGAAGCAAGTGGATTACCTGATTTGCATGAAACTTGGAAACTACTTTAGGAAAGAATCTAGGGTGAGGTCGTAACAAGACCTTTTCTCTATAGAAAGAATTATAATGGTTGGTGCACCAGGAGCGCTCCGCGCTCACTGACTCTTCTGGCTGACGTCATAGGTATTAGGAAGGCCACCTTCATGGAGTGAAGCCATGGAAGATGGAGATGGGCCACAGAGCTGTGAATGGAGATGGGCCACAGAGCGTGTGTCTAGAGGCTCAAAGCGGGGGTTAGTGAGTGACAATAAAACAAAATTGAGGTCCCACCGATGTGTAAACTTCACTAATGGTTGAAAGGATTTAAGAATCCCCTTCAGAAATCTAGTTGTGACAGGATGAGTGAATATTGTACTGTTGTCCACTGGAGGATGGAAAGTGATGACCACTGCTAAATACACTCGCAGAGAATTGAGCACAAGACCTGAAGACTTAAGTATAAGCAGATACTCTAAGACAGAAGAGATCCAGCAGATTCTGGAGACGAGATTCTTTATGAGCCCAAGAAAAGAAATTCTTCCATTTTCCTGAGTAACAGCTTTTCTGCTTTGGTTAAGGATGGATTGCAACCCTTTAGAACAGTGCTTCTCAAAGCTGGTCCCCCGCTTGTTCAGGGAAAGTCTCTGGCGGTCTGGGACGGTTTGTTTGCCTGCCGCATCCACAGGTTCGGCCGACTGCGGCTCCCACTGGCCGTGGTTCGCCTCTCCAGGCCAATGGTGGCTGTGGGAAGCGGCGCGGGCCGAGGGATGTGCTGGCCGCCCTTCCCGCAGCCCCCACTGTCCTGGAGGTTTGTGGGTTGGAGGTACCAGAAACTATCAAATAGCAACCATGAACAATCTCTAATACCATTGTTTGTAATTAGGGGATAACTATAATTTTTTTGGCAAATTGAGTAAGGCAATCTCTGAATATCAGTGGAGGGGAATGAAGTGACATCAATAACGGGACGCAGGTCTTGACAGCCCCATCAAGAAAAACTCTTTGCTTGGAAAGCTGGATCCCTCATCTCCAACGGGACTAATGTTACCAATGGTTACGCCCTAAGGCTGGCAGGTGGGATGGAAGAACAACTTTGCCTTGTTTGGATAATGTCTTCCTCTGGTGTAACAGCATCCCGGATTAGAGATGGTCCTCAATAGGAGGGGTGAATGCAGATAGGAAAAAGCAAACAAGTCCTCCAGGGAGACCCAGGTCTCTGATAACCCTTCGATACAAGGATTCTCCATTGACAGAGCTGTCTGAACCGGAGCTCCTTTGGGGCCATGCCACTACCGATACTGCATCAGCTCTAGAAATGGATGGCATCACCAGGAGCTGTTTATCCTGAGCCTTCACAATCAGAGCCAATGTTAGAACCGTTGGATCTGTACCGCCTTCTCCTGCAGAGAAGATTTATTTGGGACTAAAGCCGGAGCGCCTGTGCTTGGCAGCTCTCCCATCTTTGATGGGGTGGTTTTAGACAAAGATGGCTTGTCCTTAAGTCTATGAGAGTGCCCTTGGTTCTCATGTGAAGCCTTCTGCCTAGGCTTAACAGTCTTAGCCTCCATTCCCAAACTCGTGCTCAGAGGGGCACTGCCCACCTGGTGAGACTGATGTATGGGGGCAGAGGATGGTCCCCAGTCTGGATCTGATTTGGGCTTCACTGACTTCTACGTGAGATGTTTTCTGAGTCTCAGTTCCCGATCTTCACAAGTTCTGCGGCAAAAAGAGCAGCAGATGCTGCACTTGGCAAAAACATGAGCCTCACCCACGCAGTACAGGCAGCATTGATTATCACTTCTCTGAAGAGGAGCAAGGGCAAGAAACACAATTTCTGAACTCTGGGACTCTGGGCATAATCCCAGACTTCTCAGGAGGAAAAATATCCTTGTGTGTGGAAGAAAATGGGGGAAAAACCCACTATCTAACTCTGCTATGTAGACTATGCCTTGAAGACTACTCAAACTAAGTATATACAATATCTTACAGTAATGACAGTAAAAAAGGAGCTGAGGATTAGGAAGATTCCAACTCGGACCATGCAATGGTAAGAAGGAACTGGAGAGGTGTCACCATGCACCACCTTTTATGCCCTCGGTTCGGACCACAACAAGAGCTACAGCACATGGGCAGGCGAAGAGATACTGCTTGCAAAAAAATTCCAGACTGAAACACATGTTTCGCATGCATATCCCAAGAGTGGAATACATAGGGAGCATCACTTGAAGAAGAACATCTACTACAAGCTTAGAGTTCTGATTATTCCTAGCTACGAACTTTTGCATCTCAAAACAGAAAAGGTTGCGTTATTTTGTTTCAGAGGCATATATTTGTCTGTCACTTCCCCTCATTCTCAGATAGAATAAAAGTTAAAAATTTTACATGGCAAATTACACTACTAAAAGTTTCTTCCACTGCAAAAATCTTTCTTAATCAGCTATGGTAAAAATGTTGCTTCAGGGCTCTGGTGGGAGATTTTCCAAGTGGCTACAAGTAAATCTTAAGGAAAATTCATTTACCATAGGATTGTACGACTCCACTGATCAGCCTGGTGTTGATGGTTTCACCATTTCTTTCCTTTTCTATCAGTTTCAACACAGCATTTGTTACCTTTGAAATACGGATTAAAAATGAGTCAACATACATTAAAACCAACTACTTGGTCAATAAATACAGTAATTAATCAGGCATGCACTTCCACACTCAAGACAATCCAAACTCCTGAAAAAGAAATAAGGTAATGTGCTAATCTTAACACCAAACAGAACTCCCACAATCATTGAAAGTTGTGCACATCAGTAACTTATTCAATATTCTAGCTAACGAACTGCAAAGAAATATAAAAGCATCTGTTTATGCCTTTACTGCTTCTCCATAATATATAAGCAACCTCTAAACTTTGGTTTAATAAATTCTGCTGGTTTACATTTGAAATATACAGTAGAACCTTGCCAATCCATGCTTTGCTAAACCATATGTCTATAACGTGCACACAAAATATACAGCCTCTCCCCATCCCTCATATGTAACAGATGATTCAGTTGATGTCCCATATTACTAAAAATTCATTAAAGGAGAAGGAGAGGCTTTTTTCTTCCCTTTTGCAGTTCACCTTGGAATAGTTACTTGTGACATTTTCATACCAACCTTGCGAAATAATGCACTATTCATAAAATATGTACCTGCTTATTTAACGGCCTGAACAAACAGTCCCTCCAGGTCACCAAGGCAAGCTAAGATTGGGGAAGGGAGAAGAAGAGACGAAGGGGTTATAGATACAGGATAATCCTTTCTGAAAAACTGAAATATTGTATTATGCTAAATAATTATAACTTATTTTTAAGAAGCTTTTTGTCATGGAGGGCAAGTCTCAGTTAGCTAAGCTATCTCAGGAAAAACGTACATGTTTTACAACTATCCCCACACTCCAAATGATCAAATATTTTTGAACTCCTGCTTTCCTCATCCCCCAGAGAGAAATAGGATTGTCCGGTACTTACCTTGACAAATACTCCACTCTTAATAAAAAAATTTAAAAATGGGTTTTCCTGTGACAGGCTGATGTAGGGACTTCGAATTTGAATGGTCAGAGAAGGACCAGCTAGAAGATGAATACTCAGTAAAGACACCCTCCCAAACTGTTTTTATCGTCCAGCCCAATGCAGAGTTATTTTCATAGTACAATAAAATATATACTAAGCAGAAACTAAAATTAAAAGATTCCTTTACAATATAACAATCTACACTCACAAATGTGTACCACAGAGTTCAAATGAGAGGGAGAATATCATCACTGTTAGACATGACAGTTTAGACTGGTTTTCAGAAGTAATACAGAGGAAAGGTAGGGGGCCTAGAACATATTTATTGAGAGATTGTGAAATGAAAGAGGATTTGTAGCCTGTGTCATAACAGCATCCCAATGAAAGACAGCATAGGGCTCATTAGTATCTGGTAATGAGTTTCAACTGGCCTGATCAGTTTATTGTACCACAACTCACTAATGACATAACTTATATCTAGATGGTGTCATGTAAGATATCAATAGAAAACGAATCATATGGTGATATGTACGGAGGACAAATTCAAAATTACAAACATACTGGAGCTTATGTTATCAAAGAGTGAGGCAGGGCTGAAGTTACCCCAGCCTTGACAAAGGAATGCCATTCTGCTACCTTGAAGGTTTTTCCAAGGTACATTAGCTACATTAAGAGAAAATGTGAATGTAATTTACACAGAAGGTAAACAGGACCATCAAGCCAACAAGGGGAGGATATATCCACTCAGCATCACAGCAGGGGTAGGAAATTGCAGGAACAGATCAATTTGCATTTTAGCAAACACCAATGTGGGAAGAAACGAACATGAAACCTTCCTTTATCACGAGATTCCACGTCCCCTTCTTCACAGCTTGAATTAACTGACTTTGGGGAAGGGGGGGGGGGCAAGCCTTTAGAAGAATCCATTTCAAAGATGCACTAGACTATAAAAAAAAGAGGGGCAAAGAACCCCAAGTTATGTTTCACTTAAGACAACAAAAGAACCAATCACTCTGGGGGAAATCCTGACCAAGGGGGTGGTCAGTCATCTTACAGGAAGGTAGATTGGTAAGAAAACTACCATGAACAAAGGCTGTAGCTTGATTTTGTTAAATCTTAGCCCATAGAAAGTGTTTTTCACTGTTATTTTCTTGTAATCATTTCTAACTCTATTCTTTTTTATTTGACTCACTTAAAATCCTGTCTCCTTTTGTTAATAAACTTGTTTTACTTTTAATCTAAATCAACCCACTGCTGTGTTTCATTTAAAGTGAATGTTAACTCTAGTTAATGTGGCAAGCTGCTGGGTATTGTATCTTTAAAGGAACAAAAGAATGGTCTAGGAGAGGGCTGGATATCGCAGAGCACACGATTTTGGGAAATTTGGGACTGGAGGGTTTTATAGTCATCTTGCCAGGTGTAACCGAGGCTGGTGGAGACCAGAACATGGCAGTGGTATAACAAGAAGGCTGCTGGAATCAGAGTTGCTGAGTCAGAGCTGCTTAACACAGAGACACACAACGCATGCTTGTATGTTGGCAGGAAGCATCCAGACAACGGAGCTACAGCAGCACAGCATTTTGAGGCATTCAGGGTTAGGGCAGGAAGTGACAACCCTTCAATCGTCTGGATTGCTCCCCAGAATATGCATTGCCAGAAGTCAGAAGAGAACACAATCAGGAAAGAGGTTTAGATGGAATACAGCCCATTAGACAGGGAAACAAAAGGAGAGCTGATCAGGTGGCTGGCACAAATAGTTTTCAAAGTGAAAAAAACCTTCAATTTTTGTGGAAGATGAAAACTGAGTGAAAGGAAAGAAGAGGAAAACAGGATTAAAATAGCATTAAATGATTTAATTTTTGCAGCAGCATATTAAATTGTATGAAAGAGGTATGTCCAGAAAAAACAAAATTACCAACAATATCCATGACTGTCCCCACTAGAACACAGAACAACATTTTGGAGGCAGGAAGAGCAAGGAAGAATTTTGGAGGTTATATAAAATAATACGATTTAGCTTGTCTAGACATGGAGAAGGAAAAAGGTATCATATAACTTGCAAATCTGTCAAATACTGGTGAGCCTCATACAAATAGTCAGTTTTAAAGAGTGATTTCTGTGAAGAGAAAGCAGATGCCTGGTGCAGTAGGCTAGGAACACAGTCGGGATAAATTTATATTTCCATCAGAATGTTTTAATTAAAAGTTAAAACCAATAAAAGAGAATGCTCTTTAAAATGCTTACTGAGTAGATTTCGTATATTCCTTTACGACCTTCATCACACTCACGACGAACCCAATGTCGATTGAGGTAGGCACAAATCCCATTCAGCACTTTGCTTGAAAACCTATAATCTTCCCATTGTTGAGTGTAAAATTTCAGCACACTCTCATCCATCAAGTCTTCACCATCCTGAAACAGGGAAAATCCACCAACACTATAGACTGCTTATTTTTTAATATACAATATAATGCTATGTAGAGACAAAAGTAATCATCTACTGTAAACCAAAATCAATGACATATGCGGCTGCTTCCAGTAAGATCTCTATTATAGCAACAGGTATGGCTGCACGTAGGAAACAAAGTATTACTAAATTCATTCTTACCTTGATAGTGGCCTGGAAAAATGTTAAGAGTTATGGGTTAGATATCTAGTAAAAACGCTTGAGCCCCATCTATTCTACAGCCTCCACCATTACTACCACCTGGGGACCTGCAACAGTGGTAAAGGTCATGTGCTAAATTTCTAAGGCCTGGTCTACACTGGGGGGGGTGTGGGGGGCTGGGGAAGAATCAATCTAAGTTACGCAACTTCAACTACGTTGACGTACTTAGATCTACTTACTGCGGTGTCTTCACTACGGTGAATTGACTGCTGCCACTCCCCCATCGACTCTGCCTGTGCCTCTCGCCGAGCTGGAGTACAGGAGTAGACGGGAGAGCGCTCGGGGATCGATTTATCGCGTCTAGTCTAGATGCGATAAATCGATCCTCGCTGGATCAATCACTGCCCACCAATCCGGCTGGTAGTGAAGACATACCCTTAGTATAGCTGCTGCCCAAGAGTCAAGAGTGAATATTGTCACTCTCTCCTTGGCACCTCTGCACATAGCAGCAGTTAAAGTTGCTACCTTGGCAGAGATAAGGCATCACACCTGGCTCTTACTATAGCATTGAAGTCTGAGATGTAAGAAAAATGTTACAGGATACAGGAGAAGCTGAAATATCTTTCCCGACTAGCCAACAAGCTGCCCTTTTTCTTTTTGCAGTAGGGTTAATATTGAGGTTAGCTATTAGCTAAACGAAATTCAGCTACCCGCACAGCAAATTAAAAAGTTACATAGGATAGCTTGTGAGCATCACCAAACAGTGTGAGAAGTTGTGTGTTTATTTCACAGTGACTGACTTGTGTACAAAGTAAAAAGTCAAAGGTTAATGAAACAATTAAGATATTAAATGTCATGTTTTTCTACAAATTTGATCATTCGACAATTTTACTTGCAATTGCTTCAGATATTTTTAGTTTTACTGTACTATTCTTACTCCAAGTCACATGAGTTTAATGTAATTATTCACTGAGTTGACAGGATTCCGCCTTACCTTAAGGAGATTTGTCAAGTAGTTCTTCAGAAATTCTTTAAGTCGTTTGTACAGTTCTAAGCCAACAAACTGAGCTCCTCCAGGTGTCTGGCCTTTTTTAGATTTGGAAGGAGGTACTCCCGCTCCTCGTGCTTGATTAGACTGGTGTACACTAGTACAGTAGTTATAAACATGACTGATAGAAAGGTTAAGGAATATCTATGTGTGCATTACAAATATTCTATGCAAATTCTAGGAGTTCCATTTGAACATCTCTAAGAGTTTATAAACAATGATTTAGCCCGCCTGCGAGGATTACCTGTGGTGTCAGTAAGTAGTATTCCCATGTTACACACGGGAAAAGTGAAGGAAAGAGATTAAGTTATTTGTCCAAAGCATCTCAGTCTGTAGTGGAACTGAAAACAGAACAACGCATTTCTGACTGAATTAATGTAGTAACAATTCTCAAAAGGTCAAAAGTTATCCAGGCAATTGTTTTCTTGTTAATTTAGTTTCTGTTCCCAGCAAAATAATCAAAGAAAACAATATTAAGAGAAGAAATATCATGAAATACATTTAGAGGGTGATATCAGGAAAAGAGACCACAAGCTTATGTAAAGAAATCTTTCAAGTCTAATCTTACTGCCTTCACTTTTTGCTAGAATTACAAAATGAATGAATAAATGTGGAAACACAGTGGATACATGTTTATTTTAGTAAAGCATTTATAATAGTCTCAAAGTCTTAACAGAAAAATTCACACTGGTTTGGGTAGGAATATGGTCACGTTGAATTAAAACCATCTAAAAGACTGACAAAAGGTAATAATCAAATTTATCTAAATGCACAGAGGGATCTAGGAGAATACTGCAGGGATTGATGTTAGGACCAATCTTAGTTAACATCTTTATTAATAAACTGGAAGATGAAGTAAACCACACTAATTTGCTGATAAAGGTGAAAATGATGCACAAGGCCTCTGCGCCAGTTAAACTTTAAATGGATGCACAGGCATTGTGCTGGCCTGCTGCACAGAGGTGAATTTCACTTGTTCCTGAACTGGAAGGAATTTAAGCACTAGTCTTAACAGACAAAGAAAGGGACCAGAAACATGGGCTGAAAATAAAATTAGATTAATTTTTGAAGAATGCAAGCTAATCAGGACCAGCTCCAGCGTTTTTGCTGCCCCAAGTGGTGGGGGGGAGGGGAAGCCACGATCGGCACTTCTACCGCCGCCGCTTGATTCTTCGGCGGCAGGTCCTTCCCTCCGAGAAGGACTGAGGGACCCGCCGCCAAATTGCCGAAGAGCTGGACGTGCCACCCCTTTCCGTTGGCCGCCCCAAGCACCTGCTTGCTGCGCTGGTGCCTGGAGCCGGCCTTGACGCTAATACAAGCTGAGGAAAAAACAAACAAGTGAGCATGCGCACACACAAGGGGAGGGAGAAATATGGGAAGCAGTTATGCAGAAAGAGACCCAGTATCACTAATGGACAGCAAAGTACATATTTGTTTGCAATGTGATGTGATTAAATAAAAGGCCAAAGCAATTTTGTCTGCAAACAGTCATCAAGTCATGGAGCAGTGTGGTAATAATTCCTCTATAGCTTTAGTTTGACCACACATAGAAAACTGCATTTAGTTCTGAATGCCACATTCCCAGGAGAAATTCTAATTTTTAAGTCTTCCCAAGGAATCAGTGGAAGCCCCATTGCTCAGGACACACCAAACTAGAGGAGACAAAACTAGGAAGTGTCCTTTACAAAACTGCTTTCCTGTGAGTGGGAAATGGATTAGATGATCTAATAGTCTTTATTTTTAATTTGTAAGACTACCACTTCGGATCTATGCTTTGCCCACTAGGCCAGGATTCATCGATAAAAAACAGGCACACCTCAGAAAACTATTTTGCTTGTGTTTTGATTTTTAACCCTCCCTCTAGAAAGGCTAGCACAATAAAAGGAAATCAGTGAGCAAAATTAAATATCAACAGAATTAGATAACCCAGCATACACTGTGCCCCAGAGTCACTATGGACAGATTTGTAACATCAAACTTTAATCAATCAGATCCTCTGAAAGATAGCAAATAATCCCCATCCACATTTTTTTTTAAATGTACCGCTGTCTTTAATATTAAGTCACGCAGATTCTTAAAACTAGTTCTCAGTTTAATCAAGAAAGTATTTGACACTTCAGCAAACACAAAGGCTCAAGGTCTTTATGATCACCCTTTCTGTTTCCCTCCAGTTTATTTTCTCATTTTCTTCTGCATCCCCACTTGCATGTTAGTCATCTACTTATACCCCAAGAATACAATCCCCTTCGCTTAAATGTTACCCTTTTTGGAAATGTATGCCATGTGTTTATTCCCATGTGTTACCCCGACCTAAGTGCCAAATAGGATTTCCTATAAAAATCCTAAAAAATCATTAAAAAAACATAAAAAATTGAATTAGTGCTAAAGTGATGGCAGCTTCATTCCCTGTACTAGTCATTGATTTCCTGGACACTATCAGTTCATAAAGGTATAAGATCAGAACTATTGTCTTTTTCTAGAAAAGTTTAAGCTGCCCTTCAACCTAGTTTATCCAAAAGTTCTGGGATCTGTCATTACTCTTACTGATCTGTAACTCAATTCAAGGATCTCTATTTAAGATGTGATGAATAGTACTATCTGCACTATAACAATATCATTGTCTTCCAATTACACACCTCTATACTGTATTCAATGCTCATTCTTTAGTAACGTTACACTGTCAGCTGAATGCTATATAGTCATCTTTCCAAGTAAGCCTGGTATAGAATCCTCTCCCAGTTATGCTTTAGTCATACAAGTTATTGGGCTCATTACAGGGATAAATGGGTAAACTTTAATGGTCTGTGATTTACAGGAGGTCAGACTGGATGATCTAGTGGTGCCTTCTGGGCTTAAACTCTAGAATCCACTTAGACGATAGGCTTAAACTTGGCTTCTATAGAAACAGTCAATGCAGATTAATACAGTTAATCTCTTTTCTTCTCTGAGAAATCACATTTTTACTTAAATTCTCATTATTTACTGTTACCCATCACTCATTATTATGCTGCAATTAGCTGTAAATAAGTTTCATTTTCCATAATAAAGTACTTTGAGTTCATGGGACACAAATAAAATATATTTTATTAGTTTATGGCATTCAGGAGAACAGAGACAGTTCACAGTTGGCTTTTCCTTTTCAGCTTTGTATAGAGAATGGTATCACTTCAATTTACAGTAGTCCAATGGAATTGTAACTTTTAATGGTAGATTGTGTTCACACTAGCCATCCTGTTTTGGCTAAACCATGTCCATTTAGCATTTCCTCCAGCAACTGCAATAACAGGCATACTGTCCCCATAGCTGGAGTCAGAGAGATGCAATGTAGTTGGGGGAAGTGCTGTCCTACATTTAAAATGCGTGCATCATCAATGGTCTATTTCCCTACCTAATTTTCTTTTAGAGATCCCAATCTCTATCTGGCTATGATTCCTTTTGTCAACAAACGGAGAGAGCACATACATCTTTTTCCACTTCTGGATATAAAAATATCCCTTTCTTATGGCCTCTCCCCCCAAAAAACATTTTATTTTTCTACGATGCTGAACTTCCTTCACTATTTGTACTTGGGTTAGGACTAAAAAAAAAAAGACAGGGTTATGCTCTGATTCTCCAAGGTAGGGCATGCTGTTCTCCAATTAGCATAGCCAAACCTATGGCAAGCAAAAACAGGACTCTGAGGATAAATATAATGGTGATGTCCCTCCTGATAGCTTGAACAGTGATTTGGTAAGGGCATTCCGATCCAAATTTATTTTAATGAAAAAATGGGTGGTTTGAGTACAGGCCTGTGTGTCCAATTTAGCAAACATCTCAATATGACTGGAAATGTTCCCAAAAGTTGTATGGTCTACATCAGTGGTCACCAACCCATCAATCCTGGAGCCTCGGCCAGTTGATCACGATCTCCGGGCTGCTAAAAGTCTGTTGGCGCAGGGGCTCAGGCAGGTTCCCTGCCTGCCGAGGCCCCACACCGCTCCCAGAAGCGGCTGGCTGCTGGCACATCTCTGTGGCCCCTGGGGGAAAGAGGGGATGAGGTGCCTCCGCACGCTGCCCCCGCGCCCAGCACCGTCCCCACAGCTCCCATTGGCCGGTTCCCGGCCAATGGAAGCTGTTGGGACAGATGCAGGCAGTACATGGAGATCTGCTGATCCTCTTTCCTCCCCAGGGGCCAGAGAGACATGCCAGCAGCCAGCCGCTTCCGGGAGCAGCATGGGGCCATGGCAGGCAAGCAGCCTGCCAGAGCTCCTCTGCACCGCCGACTGGGAGCCGCCTATGGTAAGTGCCTCCCGGCCAGAGCCTGCACTTCGCACCCACTCCTGCACCCCACCCCACCCAGGCTCCCTCACAGACCCCGCACCCCTTCCCACACCCCAATCCCCTGCCACAGCCCCCTCCTGCACCCAAACTCCTCCCCCCCAGAGCCCACACCCCTCACCCTCTCCTGTATACCAACACTCTGCACCAGCCTGGGGCCCTTTCCTGCACCCAAACTCCCTCCCAGAGCTTGCACCCCACACTCCTGTACCCCAACCCCCTGCCCCAGGCTCAGCCCGTAGCCCCCTCCCATACTCCGAACTCCAGCCTGCACCCCTCCGAACCTGCCCCAGCCAAGCTCCTGTCCCAGCCCGGTGAAAGTGAGTGAGAGTGGGGGAGAACGAGGGATAGAGGGAGTGGAGTGAGCGGGGTGGGGCCTCAGGAAAGGAGCGAGATAGATCCTGGGTTGATCTTAAGTTCAAAAAGTGATCTTGTGCGTAAAAAGGTTGGAGACTGCTGGTCTACATAGTACTAAAAGGCTGCAACTGCAGCAAAGTTAACTTTCAATGAACTGGCACTCATTCCTATGCCCCAACCATTCAGCAAAAATTCCACAATATTCAGAATGTACTACAGCATAGCATCAAACCTCTATTTTCACATTATATAGTGAATACCTTCCAAATTCTTACATACTAAATGCAAATACATGAATTCTTTGAATTAATCGAGGTTGAAAGGACCTTGTCAAAAAAAGCCTCTCTCTACTAAACTTGCCCTATCAACAGCCACGCTGCAAGTCTGAAGTGAACTGACTGTACTTCTGTCACTAGGAGATGGAATTGAGGCTTCACTAGGTCCAGG